GGTTCGGTTCCCTCTAAGGGCGCGTACCTCGGTTGCAGTTTGTCCCCGGCCCTGGTCGGTTGTGCGGGTGGCAGCCACAGGATGTGTTCCTTTCATGTTGATGTTTCTCTCTCTCTCTCTGTTCCTCTCTCTCCCTCCCACTCTACCTGAACAAAAAAAATGGAAAAATGTCCTCAGGGTGAGGATAAAAAAATAAATAAAAGGTAGCATTATGGAAGGTGTTCCCTGGGCTTTGGAGTGATTTCTAGGTTAGACGTCTGGTACTATTAGATAGCTGAGAACACTCAATTCATCAATGTTCTGCTTCAATCTGCTCCTGAAAGTTGGAGGTAGGCTGTAGTGAACTTAGAAACAGGGAATACAAAGCAAGCAGCCTTTTCCCCTTCTGACCATATTCCTGCCAGTTATCTTAGTACCCACCTAGAGTCTTGCCAGATGCCTAGCTATAGTAAGCCTTGTTTCTCTGTACTCATTCATGACCATAACTAATAACTTCCCTTGAAAGGGCTCTTGCAGTTTCAGTGAAGCTGAAGCTAGAGAGAGGTTGTCCTCTCTGGGAGCCTTCATCTAACAGAGCCAATATTGCCCTCTCCATACACTCAGGTTTGTACTTGCTACTCAGTTTTTATATTAATCACCATCACATTCATTTATATGCAAAGTTGTTATAAAAATATTTAGGGAAAGAGGATTCTGTGTCATACTAAGTCCATCAAGATGTTAATATTGGTAGTACTCGTAGATTTTAGGTATTTGTGGAATCTCAACATATTATTAAGCTTTCAAGGACTGAAGACTAACAAGAAATATTAAAGTGGTACACTCAGTACCAAAGCCACCACCTTCTGAGACACAATTTAGATGAGAAATTAAGGCTTAAATTTTAAGGATGAATTCCTAAGCTATTTCATTAATCTCACAAGGCTCACTAGGAAAGATGGTCCAGTTAAAGGGGATAATTGAGGAGAACTTAATGAAGACACAAATTGAAAGGGGCTGAGTAGGGTTAAGGGAAGCCAAGTCAAGATGGTGAAGTACCTCAGCAGTGTCCAGATCTTTCTGCAATGAGGGAAACATTCTACATCTATATTGTCCAGTACCATAGTCATTAGCCACATGTAGCTATTGAATATTTAATATGTGGTTAATGCAACTAAGCCACTGAATTCTTAATTTTATTTACTCTCTATTAATTTAAGTTCAAACATCCATACAGCTAATGGCTATTATATTGAACGGTGCAGCTCAGGTCTAGCTAGGAGCCACTAAAACTCCTAGGCCTGATGCCCTAGCCAGTTTGGCCCAGCCCGTGGACCACAGAGACCCGGGTTCAGTTCCCGCTAAGGTCACGTACCTCCATTGCAGTTTGTCCCCGGCCCTGGTTGGGGTTGTGTGGGTGGCAACCACTAGATGTGTCTCTCTCACATCAATGTTTCTTTCTCTGTTCCTCCCCCTCTCTGCCTGCTCTGTCTGAAGATATAAATGCAAAAATGTCCTGGAGTGAGGATAAAAAAAAACAAGGAAAAAAAAAACTCCTAGACCTGAAGAGGAAAAAAGGAACGATTACTAGAACCCGAAGTGATGCAGAATTAGAGCTGTATCTTACTACATGGACAGGAACTGTGGCCTTTGACCAAAAAAAAAAAAAAATACAGACTCTACCAACTTGCAGACTAGTAGGGGAAACACTGAGAATACCTTGACTCACTCTTCCTGCCCTGTATCTCCCTCTAGTGCCTCTGACTGGTATAACTCACCAGAAACTAGAGGACAAGAAAATTAATTGATGCAGTCCATGAAGTTCAGCCTCCACAGACCACAGTGAAAGGTGGAGAGTAGATCTGAAGCAAAACATTATCATACTGTAAACACAATGAGTTGAAGCACCAATTGTTTGGTTTATAAGCACTCATAAATCTAAATAAATATGAAACCAGTTACAAAAATGAAACAAAAGTATATTTTTCAATTAAGTCCTATACAAATATTATTATTTAATCTATCCCAGAGTTCTCTGCCACACTAAAGGGCACAATGCTTTAATCAAACTGTAACTGGGTTCATTTTAGATTTTATACATGAAGAATGAGGTCTATACCATGCCTCTTCAACTATATTCAACATTAGATTCTTAACCAAGGATTGTGTGACATTTTTTCCAAAGTACTATCTCAAATCACAAAGCCTACGAGTGGGGAAAAAAATTTTTTTAATAGAGTGGAAGGGAGGGAAAGAGGGAGAGAAACACTGACATGAGAGAGACACATTGATTGGTTGCCACCTGCATGACCCTGACCAGCGCCAGGGATCAAACCTGCAACCCAGGTACATGCCCTTGACTGGGAATCAAAGCTGAGACCCTTCAGTCCTGAGGCCAACACAATGAGTTACATAATGTAGCTCAAACCAGCCAGAGCAGGAGTGGGAAATTTTTCACTTGACTTAGATTAAAGGTCATTGTAACTCAATAAATGGATAAACGTAGATTAGACAATGGGAGGAAGATCAATCAACCAGATACAGGGATCCAAAGGCCCCTAATTCCTATTCTAGGACTGTATGACCACTCTCTTAAGATAGGCCTACTTATGTTTTATTTTTGTATCATCTCTCTGAATGATAGTATGTGTTTTAACAACCTTTCATTTCCTTCACTGGACAGTAGTGACAATAAGAAAAAAAAAAAAAGGGAGACACATGGAGGCTATGGTAATATCTATAGCCAAAGTTAAATCCTATTTGTATTTTAGTGGGTCCTGAATATATCAAAAGTCCAGTCTTTACTGCCCAGGACTCAAGGAAGAAAGGTCCAATGTTACTGTATGGGGGTTGAAGTAGGTGCCAAAGGAAAAGCAGTTCCCACCACCTCCAAGGAGCAGGAGCTGTTGCTCTTCAGGAAGGAGGATGCTGGTATGATTGTGTAACATTAATGGCCATGGCACACATGTTGTGTCAATCTGATACTCAGAGCTCAATCCTGTAGTCAAATTGATAACAGTCACTCCAGGAACTGAGGAGGAATGAATCCAGACCCCTCCAACTAATAGAAGCTGTCCATTAAACACATGAGCTGTGTGGGAGTACCTTGGGGTGATGGGAGGCTGGATATCTATTGATTCCCAGAGGAATCCACAAGTGATTGGTTTCAGAAAGACTACAGAGCTCAATGGCTCCTCAGAAGCACCCAGACCTCCAGCAATAATGGCTCCCCCTTGCCAGCTGCAGGCACTGTGGGAATGCCGACCTTCCGGTGTTTCCCCCCTCACTGTGATCCTGACCCAAGTCATTGTCCCCACACGTAGAAAATGCCAGTCATTTAGTACAGGTTGCACCACACTTCGACCCCCATACACAAACAAATATTTCTGATTCTCATAGGACACTTCTGTTGTTGAATGCCGCCAACATGACAAAGTGGAATCTTCCCCTGGGCCAGGCTTTGTTACCATTACATTTAGATCCTCAGTGCTATTATCCTCACTCTTACAAAAATGAAGTTGGAGAATCCCCAAGGCTGGAGTTACTGGGGACAGTCTCCCTCCTAGAACCAGAACCTGAGTATTGGAAAGTCTTGTCATGGTGTGATAAAGTCGTCCATTCCACGGAGCTTCAGTCCCCCGACTGCATATTAGTTTGCCTTTCCATTCAAAGTCGGAGTATCTTGAGAGCACGTGAAACTTGCTCATTCGGCAATGCCGTCCTTCCTGCTCTCCAAATCCACCTGCACTGAAAATAATGCCTGGGCTCAGAAGGACAGAGGCGTGGCCATATCTCTTAAAGTTTGGGCCCTGGATGTCACTACTGACTACATTGGCAGGGAGGATCCCTGAAGGAGAAGCAGGATCTACCCGAGGAAACACCTCTGAGGATGGAAGCACCAAAGTTTGGGAGAGAGTGTCTCCCTTAGAAGCGCCCAGAATGAAATAGTGGGCACACTTCAGATGCCACTCCTCAAACTCGTCAAAGGGTTCAAGGTTTTCCATGCGCCGGCGTTCTTCTGCGGGCAGGAAGCAGCGATAGAATTCATTCATGTCCATGGCACTGCAAGCAGTCCAGCCAGCTTGAAGGAAGCGGCGCTGCTGGGACTCGACGTCGGGAAAGAGCTCCAGGCCATGCAGAGGAGAATTTAGCTGCCGAAAATGTTGCTGCATGAACTGGCCAAAGGTGTCATGCGGCCTCATCTGCTCGTAGATCACGAAAAGAGCATTAGGAAACCGCTGGGCTGCCCAGGCGATGAGGGCCGCGGCATTATCCGGCTCGAGGTATGTCAGCACGGCCTCGGCCAGGAGCAAAGTGGGTGCGGCCTCATCAAGGCCCGCAGCGGCCAGGGCCTGGTCCAATCGCTCGAGCTGCCTCAGGTCCAAGCCCAGGATGCGGTAGTCCAAACTCTCAAGGCATAACACCGACGCTGGGTCCCCGCTCTGAAAAGGCCCGGTTAGCGCGCACAATTCCGGCGTATCTCGAATCCTCTCCGCTTTGCGCCGCGCCACGTCCGGAAAATCTACCTCCCAGACAGCAGCACAGGACAAGCGGCCTGCGGCTTTGAGACGAAAATAAAGCGAGTCTGAGCCGGCACCCAGCGACAGAATCTGGGCGCGAGGTGCACCAGAGGCCGCACAGGTCCGCTCCAGGAAAGCGCGCACACAGTGCCGCACAGCGCGTGCGCGGACGTAGTAGCCTCGATGGATGAGCGGCGCGCGGCGCGCGCTGCCCGGAACCAGCAACGCGGCAAAGGCGTCGTGCACGTACCCGCGCGCGGCCAGGGAACTCTTGCTGAGGGCGCTGCTATCGTTGGTACTCTGTACAGCTTCCGCCCGACGCTCGCGGGTCCGAGGGCCCATGGCCAGAAGGTAATCAAGAGCCGCTGTCCGTCAGGGTGGAGAATGGCTCTTACGTTCCAGTTACCCACGTAGCGGGGACTTCTATACGGAAATACTCCTCCTCCTCCGTGACTCCTGTTGCGCGGACACATGTGCGTCACTTCCGGGAAGAGCGCGCCTCGCTAATTAGAATTGAGAAGGGTGTAGCTTGTGCTAAAATCCGGCTGGTTGACCTTTCTTTGATTTTCTGGGACTGCATTTTCGAGGGAAGACTGCCGCTAAGGCTTATAGCGGACACGTAAATCGTCAGGGAAGCACGGGTTGTAACTGTTATACAAGCTTTTCCGTGTAAGGGAAGTTCTCATAGTTGACACTTGTTGACAAAAATCTTTAAGAGGTGAGTCTGGGACCGATAGCCAGAACTTGGACGGAAAGATCCACACCAGTGATGTTGGTGGGCAAATAGGAGAAGGGTGGTTCCGGGATACTACTAGTGCTGTTTTATTTAATACTTTAATTGCTACAGAAGGGATCCCATTTAAGTCTGAAAAGAAGTCAGTGAGGCCAGGTGCAAAATGAACAAACCTTTGAGTGGTGGTTCTAAACCCAATAAAATTTCCCCCGCATATGATATACTATTGATTGCCTTTGTATTGCCCGTTCTGTGCTAAGCAGAGTAAATTACTCAGCCCTCGTTTCTTAGCTATAAAATGACATTCCCCTCTACTTTCAAAATTGTGATTCTAGGGTAGTGAGGGAATCACAGAAGGTAAATGATTATTCCCTCATGATATCTGAGTCTTGTTGGGGATTTAAAATAATCATCAAGTTCCTGAATTGGATGTTGGGGTGTCATCACCAGTAGAAAACTGTCTCCAGAGATATCTAAGGAGATTTATAATTTATTAATTGGGATTTGGTGACTGACGGGGGGCTGAGATAGAGAGGGAAATCAAGATTACTAAAGATGTGGTTGCCTTGAAGCAATATAGCATAATGATTAAAAGCATGAGTTTTGAAGACCTACCAATTTGAATTTGAATACTGGAACTCAAAAGTTTGAGTCAGGATAAAATTTTGTTAATTGAAAAGTTTCATTTAGATTTAGTGTTTAAGAGCTATTCATAATCTTAGGAAGAGCAATTTATATATGGCAATAAGGGCAGAATCCATATTATAGTGAATGGGAGATAAGTAAATAGAAACAGCCAATCTAAATTATGCTTTCAAGGACCTTAGCTGAGAAGGAAGGAGAGAGAGAGTAGTTAAAGAGGAATATAGAATAAAAGTAAGTTTGGGTTTTTGTTTTTTTTTAGGTGGGAGCAAATACTATATTTGGTTCCCTGAGGGAAATTAGCCAGTGGAGATAGAAGTTGGAGGAACAGAAAAGTGAGAGTAACTATCGGAGTAATGAATTAGAATAGATGGGGAGGAATGAGATTCTGGGCACAAATTAGTCTGAGAGACAAGAGAATGAATCCTTTTTCTAAGTCATGAAAGAAGAAAGTGTAGATAAAGACAGAGGAAATTCATGCCTGATGGCTTCTGTTGTCTCTGTGAAGCTGGTGTCTGGGTTGTCACTTCAGTGTGAGGCAGTTGGGACTCTAGGAAAAAGCTTGAGGAGTTTGGAATTGCCTTTGAAGGGAATGGGAGAAGGACTTCCCTCACCTTGCTGAACCTTGGGATCCTCATCTCTAAAATGAGGGGACTAAGTCTCATGTGTGAGTTGTCTCAGGTTGGTTGAGGACCAAAAATGGGGGGAAAAAGAGTTGTAGAACTTCTAAAAAATTGCCCAATGTGGCTCAGTGGATTGAGTGTCATCCCATGGACTGAGAGGTCCCAGTTAGATTCCTGTTCAGGGCACATGCCCGGGTTACAGGCTTGATCCCCAGTAGGAGGCATGTGGGGAGTAGCCAATTGATGTTTCTCATATCAATGTTTCTGTCTCTCCCCCTTCCTCTCTCTCTCTCTAAAAAAATAAATAATATATTAAATGTATATTTAATATACATAATAATATATTAATGTATATTTAATTATATATATATATATATATATATATATATATTTAGTGCTATAGCCCTCAGCAGTAGAAGCGTTGGCCCTCGGAGTTTGATTCCCATCAAGGGCAGGTTCAATCTCCAGCCCTGGTCTGGGTCATTCAGGAGGTGACCTGTCTCTCTCTCCCCCTCTCCCTCCCTCCCTTCCTTGCACTCTCTCTAAAACAAAAACAAAAAACAAACAAAAAACTATGGGAAAATATCCTTGGGTGAGGATTAATAAAAAAGTACATAGCACTATAGAAATGATATTTTAATGACAAGTTAGTAAAATGTACATAATATGTTAGAAATATTTTCTGGTAAAGAGCAGAAATCAAGAAAAGTGATTCAAGAAGAAAGAATAGGGGAAATTTTGTGATTTGGGTATCCTACAATTATTTTCTGATTATTACTTTTTTAACCTGTTTATTCTTGTGTAAAATTGAGGTAATAATACTTCATGTGTAGTTGTGAAGATTATGTAAAATAACTGTCTAAGACACTTAACACAGTGCCTGGCTCATAGTACGTGCTAAATAAGTAGTAACAAATATTTTTATTATTCTGAGGTTCCCCTCTTCCCTTTTTGTCATGAAAAAGTACTCTAAGAGACAGACTTGGTTCTGGTCCTTCTCTAACTTGATAAATTATTAGTACAAATGTAGAAAGATCTTATCTCAATGTGTTGCCTTTCAGCTCCTCACTCTCACCCTGGCTTCTTCTGGCCCATGCAAAATCCAGCCCAGAAATGCTGAATTTGGCAGGGAATGGTATTATTGATGGCAGTATCTTAGGCAAGAATTGGTGAAACAATTTTTTCAAATGTGCAAAGATTGTGCTTGTTTTGGTGGCTTTCAAGTTTCCATAGTTTAATATTGTAGCCAATGGGTTAGTAAATTTACTCACAACTGGTTAAAAGTTAATCTGGAGGTTGGTTGGAAATGGCACAAAATAAGGTCAGGATCTTAGAGTAGGATGTTATCAGCCCGCTATATAAAATATCTCCAGCACTTTTTTAGGTTGTCATTCCATTGTCTAACTATAAAAGTTATTTTTTCTGGGGGGAAAAGGAGAAACATCTGTAACAAAAATAAATCAACAAAAAATTTTTTTAAAGTTTTTTCTTCTCACAATTCATAATAATAAAGCTGTTTTGCAATATTAAAAAATACTTAATTATTTTATAAACAGTTATTTAAAATAACTTGTTAAATATTTTAGAATTTAATTTACTAAAGTTATTAATTGAACATTTTAATTTATTAAAATTATTTCAAAAAGTAATCAAGTATTACTTTTGTGAAACCTTAAAATTGCACAAAACTATATAAGGTAAATAAAATAAAAAATTCTCTCCCTTGACCTTTGCCACTTCCAACCCATATTCTAATGGTAACAGTTTTCTATGTGCCCTTTCATATGTGTTTTAGGAATAACGATATAAATAAATAAGGCAGAGAGAGAGTGTGTGTATCTATACATGCATACATGCTTTATTCATGAATGTCATCTTTCTAAAAGTAGTTTTATAGAAAATTCTAATAGATAAGAAATAGTTTTAGAAGTAGTTTTATAGAAAATGCTAATATTACCAACTAAATTTCAGATTGTAATCCACCTCTTACCTTTTCTTATGTCTGTTTCAGATTATTTTGGGGGCTCATTTAAATTAGCTTGGGGAGGGGCTTTTTGTCTTTTAAGGAATAAATTAGCAAAATCCTGTTTCTTTGCTTTTATGTCAATATCTGAAAATGTTCACATTTGTTTAAATAGGTGAAGCTGAGCCCAGAACAACATTTACAGCTAATCTTATAAAAATATGTGGAAATAAAACAATCTGAAGGAAATTCAAGACCATAAAATTTACTGACTGAACTACACTGTATTGTTCATACCAATAATAAGAGTGTTTGGAGACAGACCTTTTTATTCTGCTAAATCATGATGGAGGCAGAAGACCAGCAGCAATGGAAGAGAACCTTTTACTCAGAATTACCTAAAGTGGTGAGAATTCAACCACAGAGTTCTAGTGTGGTTGCTAATTATAATAATTTCTTTGTTGTATATTTTCACAAGAGAAAAATGAATTTTACAAGTGTAACCTGTAAATTCTTAAGTTATAAATCTAGCCTGGCCAGTGTGGCTCAGTGGTTGAGCATCAATCCATGTACCAAGAGGTTGCTGGTTCAATTCCTGGTCAGGGCACATGCCCAGGTTGTGGGCCTGATACTCAGCAGGGGGCATGCAGGAGGTGGCCAGTTGATGTCCTCTCTCATTGGTGTTTCTATCTCTCTCCCTCTCCCTTCCTCTCCCTCTAACATCAATAAAGAAAAAATATTTTAAGTAATATAGCTAAATCTAGTAGGCAATTTGCCTAGTATAGACTGCAAACATCAAGTATATGGTACTATGTTACAAATCTAGTAGATACTTGATATGTTTTTACTGATTGTATTCTTTTGTTTTAGGAACTTCATGCCCACTTGAATGGATCCATTAGTTGTAATACCATGAAGAAGTTAATAGCTAAGAAACCAGGTCTTAAAATCCATGATCAAATGACTATGATTGATAAGGGAAAGAAAAGAACTTTAGAAGAGTGAGTTTGGGGATATTGTGGACACACTTCTTTTTTTCTCTATCACTATTTTGAAATTGTAAATAGTATGTAAGAATTCAGATTTTAGTAGTTAAAGGAATAGGGTAGCCATCTGGTGTGGAGAGTATAACTTGACATAAGGCATTTTTACAGCTGTCAGACTGTTGACAATATTTTTAATGATGTATGTTGTTTGTGAGCCAGGTTGTGGGCTTGATCCTCAGCAGGGGGCATGCAGGAGGTAGCCAATTGATGTCCTCTCTAATTGGTGTTACTATCTCTCTCCCTCTCCCTTCCTCTCTCTCTAACATCAATAAAGAAAAAATATTTTAAGTAATATAGCTAGATTTAAATATTCCAATATTCCAATTATACTATATTGGAATATTTTTCAGACTTGTAAGTATAGGTTTACTGATTTTTTCCCCTTATTTGCTCCTGTCAGCGGGGGGTTGAGGGTGGAGAAGGGAAACTAGTATTTCCCACTTAAAAATATCAGTAATGTTTTATTTTCAGTCATTGATCTTTTCAGATCAATGTAATTTTCAAAAAAACCTATTCTGTAGTTCTTTATAAATATATAATTACTATTAGCCTAACATCTATTAATTTAATTGTGTACTGAATTCATCTTGAGATTTTGATGACTAGAGTATCTTAAAACTTTTTATTCATGTTATAGATGTTTCCAGATGTTTCAGATTATTCATCAGTTTACTACTGGCCCTGAAGATATTTTAATGGTAAGAAGTGAAGCAATTTTTAGACAAGTTTAAAAATTATTAACTAATTTATACCCTCTTGTTGTATCTAGTCTGATGAAAAATGTTTTCTACTTTTTTATGGCAACTCTTTTCAAAACCAATGTAAGACATTTGACTTCTACTTTTTTTATGGCAACTCTTTTCAAAACCAATGTAAGACATTTGCCTTCTACTTTTTTATGGCAACTCTTTTCAAAACCAAATGTAAGACATTTGCCTAAGTCAAGAACTAATATCAACAGACTGTGTTTATTATAAAACATATGAGGAAAGAACTAGATGAATAGCTTCTGTTAGATGAAGGACAATATGGAGGAGAAAATCTGGTCCCGTTTTCCATAATATTTGACCATAGATAGAAATGACTTTTATAAGGTTTTATCCTTATTGCTTGGAAGATTTTTCACTGCCTGGGTGAATGTTATAGAGAGTGAAGAAGTTCAGGAGATGCCTAGGAATTGAATTATTAATGCCTAGGGAAATTGTACCTTTCCTCTGGGAATGAAGGACTAAAGAACACCACTATGTTTTCTTACTGAAGCGCCATGATACTGTCTGCATGATATGGAAGACTGGTTTCTGTATTATTGATCTGACCAGGATGGTATTTAAAAACATCCTCTTGGTAAATGAAGAGAAACAAAATCCTGTCAGTGTTCTTAATCATTTGAAAAAATGCAAAGTAAGAAGTATAACCTGTGTTTTTGGAGAACTTTTGACTGGTCAAGAAAGAATTTTCCAAGACCAGCACTCCAGGAATCTCTGCTTATTGTTTAAATGTGGTCTTTCCAGAATGCTGTCCCAGCCACTCTATGAGAGTAGACATTAAAAAAAAAACATTTTTTTGGACTTCTGGTCAAGATGACGGCGTAGGTAAACGCAGTATCATGTCCTCCCACAACCAAATCAAAGTTACAACTAAACTACAGAACAACCATCATTCAAAACCACCTGAAATTGCGCTGAATGGAAGTCCTACAACTACGGAATTAAAGCAGCAGCCACATCGAGACTGTTAGGAGGGGCAGAGGCGCACAGGCTGGTCCCTCACCCACGTGTGGCGGATAAAAATCAGGAGGGCACCTCGGCTGAGAAGGTCCTCCCTGAGGACCGAGGGGTCCCCGTCCCACACCAGGCGCCCCGCTCAGGATTCCAGTACCAGGAAGAGAAGTCCCCATAACTTCTGGTTGGAAAAGCAAGCAGGAACTGAGGCTTAGGGAGGCTGAAGCGGCTGGAGCCCCAGGCAGCTCCTTAAAGGGCCCGCGCACGGACTTATCGGGCTCACTCCCTCTAAGCTTGGAGGGGAGGCAGCTCGAGGGGCAACAGAGACATACAGGGAAGAACTGAGCTGTTTGGCATTGGAGCAAGGGCTGGAGAGGGGGCTTTCTCCAGGACAAACGTGCTGTCATAGGCCTTTGTTCCTTTGGTGAACCCTTCCCTGGGGTGGGAGACAGCCGCCATATCTGGGACTCCAGCAACCTGGCTCACACTGGTAGCCCCACCCTGGTGACTCCCTGAGGCCCTGCCCCACCCAACTTTCAGGCCCACCCAAGCTGTTGCCAGTTGCTTCACCATAGGATTGGCCTGTCTTGGATCCTGCTTCAGGTTTTCCTAAATTCTTTCAAACAAGCAGCATCTGGTCTCAGCTAGCCCCATACCTCTCGTTAAGTAATACACAGAAACAAACACAGGGAGGCAGCCAAAATGAGGAGACAAAGAAACAGGTCCCAAATGAAAGAACAGAACAAAACTCCAAGAAAAGAACTAAGCGAAATGGAGATAAGCAACCTAACAGATGCTGAGTTCAAAACACTGCTTATAAGGATGCTCAATGAACTTAATGAGGGCCTCAAGAGCATAAAAAAGGACCAGTCAGAAATGAAGGAGGCATTTATTGAAATAAAGAATAATTTACACAGATTCAATAGTAGAGTACGTAAATCCAAGAAGCAAACCATCGATTTGGAATATAAGGAAGCAAAAAATGCCCAATCAGAACAGCAAAAAGAAAAAAGAATCCAAAATAATGAGGATAGTGTAAGGAGCCTCTAGGACAACTTCAAGTGTGCCAACATTCGCATCTTGGGGGTGCCAGAAGGAGAAGAGAGAACAAGAAATTGAAAACCTGTTTGAAACAATAATGGCAGAAAACTTCCCTAACTTGGTGAAGGAAACAGACATACAAGTCCAGGAAGCACAGAGCGTCCCAAACAAGATGAACCCCAAGAGGCCCACACCAAGACACATCATCAAAATGCAAAAGGTTCGCCCTGGCCAGTTTGGCTCAGCGGTTAGAGCGTCGGCCTGCGGTCCGGAGAGACCCGGGTTCGGTTCCCGCTAAGGGCACGTACTTCGGTTGCAGTTTGTCCCCGGCCCTGGTTGGTCATGCGGGTGGCAGCCACTCGATGTGTCCCTTCACATCGATGTTTCTCTCTCTCTCTCCCTCCCAATCTATCTGTACAAAAAATGGAAAAATATCCTCGGGTGAGGATAAAAACAACAACAACAAAAATGCAAAAGGTTCAAGACAAAGAGAGAATCTTTTTTTTTTTTCAAAGAGAGAATCTTAAAAGCAGCAAGAGAAAAGCAGTTAGTTACCTACAAGGGAGTTCCCATAAGGCTGTCAGCTGATTTCTCAAAAGAAACTTTGCAGGCCAGAAGGGAGTGGCAAGAAATATTCAGAGTGATGAAAAGCAAGAACCTACAACCAAAATTACTCTATCCTGCAAAGCTGTCATTTAGAATCGATGGCCATAGAGTTTCCCAGACAAAAAGTTAAAGGAGTTCATCACCACCAAACTGTTATTATATGAAATGATGAAGGGTCTTTTTGAAGAAAAAGATAAAAAATATGAATAAACAAAATGGCAATGAATACATATCTGTCGACAATGGAATCTACAAACAAAATGAACAGGCAGAACAGAAACATTCTCATAGATACAGAGAACATTTTGTTCATTGCCAGATGGGAGGAGGGTTGGGGGAATGGGTGAAAAAGGTGAAGGGATTAAGAAGTACAAATTGGTTGCTAGACTGACAAACCTCAAAGAGATGGGGGTGGAGGGCGGGAAGAAATAAACCAAAGAACTTATATGCATAACCAATGGACACAGACAACAGTGTTGGAAAAGGTAGGAGTGGGGAGGGAATGGGGAGGAGGGGGTCAATGGGGGAAAAATGAGGAACGTCTGTAATACATTCAACGATAAAGATTTAAAAAAAAAAAAAGAAAGAAAGAAAGGCCCTGGCCGGTTTGGCTCAGCGGTTGGAGCGTCGGCTTGCGGTACAGAGAGACCCGGGTTTGGTTCCCACTAAGGGCGCGTACCTCGGTTGCAGTTTGTTTCCGGCCCTGGTTGGTCGTGTGGGTGGCGGCCACTCGATGTGTCCCTTCACGTCGATGTTTCTCTCTCTCTCTCTCTCTTCTTCTCTCTCCCTCCCGCTCTATCTGAACAAAAAATGGAAAAATGTCCTCGGGTGAGGATAAAAAAAAAGAAAGAATTTTCCTCCTTAGCTAAGACTGATTCTCACGATAAACAGTAAATTAATCACCTTTTGGAGGAGAGTTGTGTTTAAAATTTTAGTTCAACAGAAGTTGACTGAGTGTCCATAATGTTCCAGTGCTAGAGACTGGGAGATATAAAGACAGACTGACATGGTCCCTGCCCCTGAAGAATTTACAGTCAGGGCTGAATCTGGCAGACACAGATGTGGACCCCAAGGACGTATTCTTGAACGTGGGGTAGGGATGATTCCACAAGCCTCACTGTGACCTAGATAGATCTTCCATTCCTCTCATTCTATATATGCCAGCAACCTTCTGTTATTCATTTGGTTTCAAGGTATCTCACCACCAAGATGAGGATGCCCTGGATAGTAGATACGATCACTTTAGTCACTGAAAAGTACCATTTCACACCCTCATTGTCAGTGCACACATTAATAAATAGGCTTCTGCATTAGTCTTCTGTGAGCTGGGGTAGAATGAGTTGGGAGTCTCTGGGTCTGAAGCAATGAAAGATGCAAGTTCCTCAACCTACAGAGATGAGGCCCCAAAAGGCAGCAACATGGAGTTCTTAGAGAAGCACTGCCATTGGGTCTAGTACACGGAGGAGGCAGGCTTATGCTTGGTTGTGGAGGAAGCTGTGGTGTCTTTCTTGGTATAGGGGTGTCATGTGATTTTTGAATGCTGTTGTGTGGGTCTAAGGTGAATAGTCTCTGAGGCTGATTCTCTAGACCTCCATTACATTTATATTATAATAAACTTCTTTTTGGCTTTAATTTTTTTAAAAAGTAAAAGATGAGGCTCAAACCTTGGATTGCTGTGAATCCACTACGGTAGTGCCCCCTGTCCGACACTGTCTACACAACCCCACAACCCCATGTTCCATTGCTGGGACACTGCATTTGTCTGCACATGTGCCCATAGTCAAAGCAGGTTAAAATTAGGATACTGCTCCAGACCAGTAGCTCCGCTGGTTGGAACATCGTTCCATACACCAAAAAGGTTATCGGTTTGATTCCTGATCAGGGGACATACTTAGGTTGCGGTTTTGATCCCAGTCTGGGCACATATGGGAGGCAACTGATCGATGTCTCTCTCTCACATCTGTTTCTCTCTAAAATCAATAAATATATCCTCAAGTGAGGATTTAAAAAGAAAGATTAAAAAAAATTAGGATAGCCCTGGCCAGTTTGGCTCAGTGGTTAGAGGGTTGGCCTGTGGACCGGAGAGGCCCGGAGTCAATTCCCACTAAGGGCACGTACCTTAATTGCATTTTGTCCCCAACTCTGGTTGAGGTCATGTAGGTGGCAACCACTCGATATGTCTCTCTCACACTGCTGTTTCTCTCTCTCTCTCGCCCTCCCGCTCTATCTGAAGATAAGTGCAAAAATATCCTTGGGTGAAGATAAAATTTTTTTTAAATGATACCAACTGTAAGGGTTAACTAGGGCATGTTGTCACAGTATCCCCAACCTGGTCCTTTTTCTATTAGATTTGGTATTTTTTAGAATTGATGGCAGAGAAGGAAAATATACCTTCAGCCTTTAGATATCATTTACCTTGGTATTTAGTAATTTTTGGATTGTTGACATTTGTGCTAAATTGGATACAGTTTGACTCATATTTATCACCCATTTTCTTTGCCTAAGACAGGAATTTTCCTAAGTATTTCTGGGAAAAATTTAACTCTGCCTAAATAATTTCATGAAAAATATAACTTATTCCTAAATAACTTGAATAAGAACCTTAAACCATGAATTTAAATAGTATATCAGTAACGTCTAATCATATTAGCTAGCTGTTCCTTACCATATGGTCCTTTATAGTACTACACACTCATAGATGGTTTTAACTGGTTTTAGTTTTTCCTTATTTCTGTTTTATCAAACTGCTATTATGAACACTAGGAAATGGGAAAATGGTTAAAAGGAGAGGAAAGAAACACAAAATGTTAATGATGTACAGATTTGGATTTAATGTGGAAATGTTGAGAGATACAGTATTGAAAATTTTACAGTACTGGGTGTGACAAAGTGGGTAATCTTAACCACATGGAAGATTTCCAACATGCTTTGCAAATCAAATGTAATGAATGAAATAAAGTTGTAGCATTTGGCACTTTCATTAGGACCCTTATACCAACATTATCAATATTGTGTACATTGCTTTTATTATCAGGTCACAAAAGATGTCATTAAAGAATTTGCAGATGATGGTGTCAAGTACCTGGAACTAAGGAGCACTCCCAGAAGAGACAATGTTACAGGTAGAATTTAATTCTCAGCCAATGTACTCTTTTCTGTGTGCTTTGGTCATTCATGTGTTTACAAGTTGAGAATATGAAGCCCTTACTTCTACTCACTTGTAAAAGTAGAATCAACTTTCCAAATCTTATTATGTACATTATTAATGAATGAGTTGTTACTATTTTTTTTTAATCCTCACCTGAGGATATTTTTCCATTTATCATCAGATAGAGTAGGAGGGAGGGAGAGAAACATCGATGTGAGAGAGATACATCGACTGGTTGCCTCCCATACAACCTGACCAGGGCCGAGGATGAACCGCAACTGGAATTGAACCTGCGACTCATTGGTCTGTGGGCCAGCGCTCTAACTGCTTAGCCAAACTGGCCAGGGAGAGTGAGTTATTCTTTAAAAAATTTACTCAGGTATTATGTGTTTTAGGGAAATAAAAAGGCCTGCAAAAATTTCCTTTGTTTTTCTGTTGGTCTTTCTCACTCTGAGCCACACTGGCTGGGCTTATTGCACATTTTCCAACAGCATTCAGTTCTAAGTTATGCCGGTGAGGGTAGTGAAGGATAGAAGAAATCTACCAGTTATTAGAGTTAATTTGCTCTTTTTTTTTTTATCCTCACCCGAGGACATTTTTCCATTTTTTGCTCAGATAGAGCGGGAGGGAGAAAGAGGAAGAGAGAGAGAAAGAGAGAGAGAGAGAGAAACATCGATGTGAAAAGGACACATCGAGTGGCTGCCACCCGCACAACCAACCAGGGCCGGGACAAACTGCAACCGAGGTACATGCCCTTAGCGGGAACCGAACCCGGGTCTCTCTGTACCGCAGGCCGACGCTCCAACCCGCTGAGCCAAACCGGCCAGGGCTTAATTTGCTCTTTGAATGAAGATTCAGAAGGGAAGTGTTAACCTAAACATGTAACAATAGGGGAATTGTAAAATAAAGGTTAATGAAATATTGGGCAACAATTAAAAATAGTTGGAAGAGCCTGGCCGGTGTGGCTCAGTGGTTGAGCATCAACGCATGCACCAAGAGGTCACTAGTTCAATTCCAGGTCTGGACCCGGGTTTCAGGTTCGATCCCCAGTAGGGGATATGCAGGAGGCATCCGATCAGTGGTTCTCTCTAACATCTATGTTTCTATCTTTTTCTCCCTCTTCTTTCCTCTTTTTCTAAAAAAAAAAAAAAAAAATCAATAAAAATATATTTTTAAAAAATAATTAAAAAGTACTTTAATTACATGGACATATGCTCAGAATATAGTGTTAAATGACCAAACAGAATACATATATAGACCTAGTAGTAACATCCCTTCTATTCATATATAATATATAAATATATATATTTACTTACTTATATGTGTATATTTATATGTATGTATATTTAGAATATATTTGTTTATATGTATATACGTATGCTTAGAAGTATGTATATGTATGTTTTAGGAAAACAAAGACAGTGGTTACCTTTGAGTAGTGGGATTATATGTTAATTTTATTTTTCTTCTTTATTATTTCCTGTACTTTACTAGAGATTTCCTACCAAAAAAGTAAGCATTTTTGAATTGGGGTATGAGAGTATTTTAGAAGAGGTTGTTCTGGAGAGTGTTCTTCCAGAGCCCCCCCAAAAGAGGAGAACTTAAGTACCCAAACTTGAAGAACATCTCTAGTGCCCTGGATGAGTAACATGGAGTCTGAGCAGAATAGAGGAGAAAGGAACTCAAGAGAGGATTCTTTTCTGGACCATCAGGAAAACATTCTGCTAACAGAGAAAAAGAAAATAGCGCCCTGGCCAGTTTGGCTCAGCGGTTAGAGCGTTGGCCTGCGGTCCGGAGAGACCCAGGTTCGGTTCCCGCTAAGGGCACGTACTTCGGTTGCAGTTTGTCCCCGGCCCTGGTTGGTCGTGCGGGTGGCAGCCACTCGATGTGTCCCTTCACGTCGATGTTTCTTTCTCTCTCTCCCTTCCTCTCTCTCCCTACCACTCTATCTGTACAAAAAATGGAAAAATATCCTCAGGTGAGGATAAAAAAAAGAAAAGAAAATAGCATTTTTTAAAAAATAAATATTTATTGAATTAAGTCAGATGGAAATAGGAAATAATTTTTTTTTTTTAATCCTCACCTGAGGATATATCTTCATTTTTTGTTCAGATAGAGTGGGAGGGAGAGAGAGGAACAGAGAGAAAGAGAGAAACATCGATGTGAAAGAGACACATCGAGTGGCTGCCTCCTGCACAACCCCAACCAGGGCTGGGGGCGAATTGCAACCAAGGTACATGCCCTTGACCAGAATCGAACTCGCAACTCATTGGTCCTCAGGCTGACACTCTAACTACTGAGACTAACCAGCTAGGGCAAGAAAATATCTTTTCAAGACAGGCTTTAGAAAAGGGCTCGTGGTTGTTCTTGTTTTGTTAGAACATTAAAATATTTTCATAGCAATTTGTGAGAGTAATTTTATGTCGGTTGAATTTGAGAATTTTTTTTTTCCTTTATTTTCGAGAGAGAGGAATGGTGAGGGAAAGAGAGATAGAAACATTGATGAGAGTGAACATCAGTTGTTTGCCTCCTGCATGCCCTCATTGGGGATTGGGCCCACAGCCTGGGCATGTGCCCTGACTGGGAATTGAACCTGCACCTTCTTGTTGCGTGGGTCAATGCTCAGCCACTGAGCCATACTGGCTGAATATAAGGATAATTTTTTAATTGGCTTGTATTTTATATGCCTTTTTTAAATTTTATTTTTGTAATAATTCATTTTTCCCCAAATTTATTAAAGTTCAATTAGTATTTACTAAAATATATACCTAAGGGCCCTGTTTTTATTCATCTTTAACCATGCTTTTATCACAACATAAAGTGAAAATGTAATTGTTCACATAGGGATGTTAATGTGGAAGGATGAAATAGTTGATCTCTTTAACATGTTTTCTTTGTGTCCTTTCCAGGAATGACTGAAAAAACTTATGTGGAATCTGTACTTGAGGGTATAAAACAGTCTAAACAAGAAAACTTAGACATCAATGTTAGGTAAGAAGCATTGTACCTTAGTGGTCACCATTTAAACATCTAGAATGTGTGAAAATTTTACTGCTTTGACCATGGGTATTATTAATTTTTATGATTCAACCAATAACTGATTTTTATCTTATAGAAAAAACAGTCAAGAACTCTATTCTTTAATGTTGAGAATGCAATTCTGAATTTATTCATGTGGCAGTAAAATTCTGAGTACTGTTGCTGTAGTAAAGTATGGCTTTCTATTGCTCTTCAGCTAAAATCTAGACCTTCTGACTTTGGCCTCCAAGATGGCACATGATGTGGCTGCCTCTCTTACTTTATTGTTAATTATTGCCCTGTAGTGTCTCTGTTCACCTAATAGGCCAAGACTATCCCACCTCAGCACTTTGTACTTCTTGTAACTTTTGCTTAGACCACAACTTTCACCATATCCTTGGATGGCTGGTATCTTCTCATTATTCAGGTCTCAGTTGAGCTGTCACTTCCTGAAGGGGGGGCCTTTCTTGACCACTTTATCTAAGGTACTCCCCAAATCCTCTAGTCACTCCATTTATTTCCTTTTTGGCAGACTTTTTAAATAGATCAGAAATTATCTTGTTTTATTTGTGTATATATGCCCACCCACTAGAGTGTAAATTCAGTGAGGCCACAGATCTTGTCTTTTGATTCACTACTACACATCCAGTACTTAGAACAGAACTAGCACATAGTCAGATCTCAATCGGTCCTTGAAGAAAGAAAGCTAGCTGTAGTGTTTCTGGCTATAAAATCTCTCAAAATTAACCTTAACTAGATGAATACCTCAATTTTAAAAAACCACCCAAGCCCAGCTGGTATGGCTCAGTGGTTGAGCATTGACCCATACACCAAGAGGTCACCAGTTTGATTCCCAGTCAAGGCACATGCCCAGGTTGTGGGCCCTGTCCCCAGTGTGGGGCATGCAGGAGGTGGCCAGTCGATGTTCTCGCTCATCAGTGTTTCTCTCTCTCTCCTTTCCTCTCTCTCTAAAAATCAATAAAGAAAAAATATTTTAAAAATAAAAATAAAAAACCACCCAAAAGCTAAGAGAATTCAGAAAAGAAGACATATAAATGGCCATTAAATGTATAGAAAACTGTTTAACCTCACTAATCATATAATTTTAAAAAGAAATATTGCAGGACAATCTTCTGGTCAAGATGGCAACATAGGTAAACGCGGTATCTCGTTCTCCCACAACCACATCAAAGTTACAACTAAACTACAGAACAACCATCATTCAAAACCACCTGAAATCGCGCTGAATGGAAGCCCTACAACTACGGAATTAAAGCAGCAGCCACATCGAGACTGGTAGGAAGGACAGAGGCACATGGGCTGGTCCCTCACCCACGTGTGGCGGATAAAAATCAGAAGGACACCTCAGTTGGGAAGGTCCTCCCTGAGGACTGAAGGGTTCCCATCCCACACCAGGCACCCAGCTCAGGGTTTCAGTGCCAGGAAGAGAATCCCCATCACTTCTGGCTGTAAATCCAGTGGAAACTGAGGCTGATGGAGGCTGCAACTATGGGAGCTCCTCTTTAAAGGCCTGCACATGGACTTACTCGAACTCACTCCCTCCAGGCTCCAGCGTAGGGAAGCAGCTTGAAAGGCATTAGAGACATATAGGGAAGAACTGAGTTGTTTGGCATTGGAGTGAGGGCTGGAGAGGCAGCTTCCTCTGTTGTCAGAGGCCTTTGTTCCTTTGGTGAGCCCTTCCTTGGTGTCAGACAGCTGCCATATCTGGGACTCCAGTAACTTGGCTCGCACTGTTTGCCCTGCCCTGGTGATTCCCTGAGGCTCTGCCCCACCCAACTTTCAGGCCCACCCAAGCTGTTGCCAGTTGCTTCACCATAGGATTGGCCTGTCTTGGATCCTGCTTCAGGTTTTCCTAAATTCTTTCAAACAAGCAACATCTGGTCTCAGCTAGCCCCATACCTCTCGTTAAGTAATACATAAAAACACAGTGAGGCAGCCAAAATGAGGACAAAGAAACAGGTCCCAAATGAAAGAACAGAACAAAACTCCAGGAAAAGAACCAAGTGAGCCCTGGCCAGTTTGACTCAGTGGTTGGAGCATTGGCCTGCGGACCAGAGAGTTCCGGGTTTGGTTCCCACTAGGGGCACATACCAAAAAAAAAACAACTAAGGAAATGGAGGTAAGCAACCTAACAGATGCAGAGTTCAAGACACTGCTTATAAGGATGCTTAATGAACTTAGTGAGAACTTAAATGAATTAATGAGGGCCTCAAGAGCATAAAAAAGCACCGGTCAGAAATGAAGGATGTACAGTCAGAAAATGAAGGAGGCACTAACTGAAATTAAGAATAATTTACACACGCCCTGGCCGGTTTGGCTTAGCGGTTAGAGGGTCGGTCCAGAGAGGCTTGGGTTTGGTTCCTGCTAAGGGCACGTACCTCAGTTGCAGTTGTCCCTGGCCCTGGTTGGGTTGTGCGGGAGGCAGCCACTTGATGTCAATGTTTCTCTCTCTCTTCCTCTCTCTCCCTCCCACTCTGTCTGAACAAAAAGTGGAAAAATGTCCTCGGGTGAGGATAAAAATAATAATAATAATAATAATAATTTACACAGATTCAGTAGTAGAGTAGGTAAAGCCAAGAAGCAAACCATTGATTTGGAATATAAGGAAGCAAAAAACACCCAATCAGAACAGCAAAAAGAATCCCCCAAAATGAGGATAGTGTAAGGAGCCTCTGGGACAACTTCAAGCATGCCAACATTCGCATCTTAGGGATGCCAGAAAGAGAAGGGAGAGAACAAGAAATCAAAAATCTATTTGGAACAATAATGGCAGAAAACTTCCCTAACTTGGTGAAGGAAACAGACATACAAGTCCAGGAAGCACAGAGCGTCCCAAACAAGATGAACCCCAACAGGCCCATACCAAGACACATCATCATTAAAATGCAAAAGGTTCAAGACAAAGAATCTTAAAAGCAGCAAGAGAAAAGCAGTTAGTTACCTACAAGGGAGTTCCCATAAGGCTGTCAGCTGATTTCTCAAAAGAAACTTTGCAGGCCAGAAGGGAGTGGCAAGAAATATTCAGAGTGATGAAAAGCAAGAACCTACAACCAAGATTACTCTATCCTGCAAAGCTGTCATTTAGAATCGATGGCCATAGAAAGAGTTTCCCAGACAAGGAAAAGCTAAAGGAGTTCATCACCACCAAACCATTATTATATGAAATGTTGAAGAGTCTTCGTGAAGAAAAAGATAAAAAATATGAACAAACAAAATGGCAATGAATACATATTTATCCACAATTGAATCTATAAATGAAATGAACAAGCAGAACAGAAATATTCTCATAGATACAGAGAACATTTTGTTGGTTGCCAGATGGGAGGGGATTTGGGGGAATGGGTGAAAAGGTGAAGGGATTAAGAAGTACAAATTGGTTGTTAGACTGACAAATCTCAAAGGGAAGGGAGGGGTGGGGTGGGAAGAAATAAACCAAATAACTTATGTGTATATATTCATAACCAATGGACACAGACAACAGTGTGGGGAAAGGCAGGAGGGGGGCAGGAGTGGGGAGGAGGAGGTCAATATGAGAAAAATGAGGAACGTCTGTAATACATTCAACAATAAAGATTAAAAATATATATATTGCAATACCATTTCAAACCCCATCCCCCACCACCACCAAAAAGGGTAATAACCAGTGTTTGTGAACTTAGACTGTTGGTGAACATATACAATTAATAAAATCTTTCTATAGAGCAGTATGTACTAAGATCTATAAAAATAGCCCTGGCCAGTTTGGTTCAGCTGTTAGAGCATCGGCCGTGGACCAGAGAGTCCCGGATTCGGTTCCCACTAAGGGCACATACCTCAGTTGCAGTTTGTCCCTGGCCCCGGTTGGGGTCGTGTGGGTGGTGACCACTCGATGTGTCTCTCTCACATTGATGTTTCTCTCTTTCTCTTCTTCCCTCTCTCCCTCTCGCTCTATCTGAAAATGAATGCAAAAACAAAAATAAAAAACGGTCTATAAAACCAGTTTACCCTCTGACCCAGTAATTCTCTTTTAGAAATGTATCCTAAGGAAATAGATTGATTTATGAGTAAGATTCTTCATTGTAGTGTTATTTATAACAAAAAGTAGAAAACATCCTAAAATGCCCAGCAGTCAGAGGACAATTACATTGTTATATTCATATGATGTATATTGTTTCTAAAATATTTAATGGCAGAAGAAATTGTTAACTGAAAAAAAAAAGACACTGCATTTTATATACAGTTGATCCAAATTCTATAAATAAATAAATGCTGAAGGAATTTTTTTACTAGAGGAAAATTACACAATATTAACAGAGTATTAGATTTCTTGTAGAATTCCAGCTAATGTGTGTATCAGCTATTGGATACATGTTAGAATTAGAATGTTACCAACTTTGTACCCAGTGGTATGGCTCAGTGGTTGAGCGTCAATGCATGCACCAAGAGGTCGTTGGTTCAATTCCCAGTCAGGGCACATGCCCAGATTGTGGGCCAAATCCCCAGTAGGGGGCATACAGAAGGCGACCAACTGATGTTCTCTCATCAATGTTTCTATCTCTCCCTTTTTCTCTCTCTAAAATCAATTAAGGGAAAAAAAAATTTTTTAAAGACTATTACCAATTTTGTAACCCTTATGAAATAGTGGATCTAAGCCTGCTGATGAAAGAACACATCACCACCTATGAAATGACTCATGCCAGAAAATTGAATCTGATCTTATGCCTCTAGATTAAATCTCGTGTCCATTATAGGAAATACAGGAGAACATGTTAGTAACAGGGATTCAAGCAGCAAAACCCAGACTGTGGGAAACCTTATAGGACAAATGACCTAGTTTCTTCAACATATAAATGTAAGAAGTATGGTTGAGGGTCGGGAGTGAAGGGAGTGGCTATAGATTAAAAGATACTTGAAACACATTGACTGGTACAATGTGTGAACCTTTAATTGGATTCTCAATTGAACAAACTGTAAAAAACAAATATTTGAACAAAAAAAGGTTAGACACTTAGAAATTTGAACACTAACTAGGTATTTGGTGCTATTTAGAAAGTTATGTCTCATTTCCCCTGGCAAAGTAAGATGTTATGTCAGTTAGGCTATACATTTCCTATAGTACGATGTACCGTACTACCATAGCTCTCTGGCCGTACTCAAGAGTTGTCTTTTTTATCATACTTGTTTTCAACTGTGTTTTTCTTATGTTAAAGATATTTGATATCAATCGACAGAAGAGGTGGCCCTTTAGTGGCCAAGGAGACTGTTAAACTTGCTGAAGAATTCTTACTTTCAACCGAAGATACAGTTCTTGGCCTTGACCTCAGTGGAGACCCTACAGTAAGTTATTTTTCCTAAATACATTTTATTTCTAAAAGGTCAAATTAGTTTGTGGGATAAGCATTAGCTTGAAGCACCCTGCATTCTCCAGAAGGCCAACAGACTCTGTGTGGATGAAACCCTGTTCTGCCCTGGATAACCAGAATGTCTACAGCAACTGTTCTCAACCAGCATTCTGTGAAAGAATTAAGACCCATAAAAAAGAAAAAAAGAGTTGCATGACAATATGATTATTTTCTCCATTCTTCTAAAGATGGTACACAGCTAGTTCCATTCTACATACATAGAAGAGAAGTTATTTCATTATATACAGTGGATGTCTAATGCTTAATTATGGCTAGAGCTTAATTACCTCATAGAAGCCTCAGTTGAGAAAGGCTGACCTAGAGTTTCGTGAATGTCATACTCAAGCAGGATGTCACATCTGTGGCTCTGTTGGCATTTTGGGCCAAATAATTTTTTGTTATGGGGACTATCCTGTGCATTGTAGGGTGTTTAGCAGTATTCCTGGCCTCTGTCCCCTAGATGCCAATAGCACTCTCCCAGTTGTGACACCCAAAACTATTTCTAGACATTGCCAAATGTCCCTGGGAGTGGGCGGAGGGGAGGGTTTGGGGATTGCCCTTAGAAAGCCACGAATTAGTCCCATGAAACTGGTTCTTTTGGCTTTGTCTAAATTTGGTCTGTTCTGCTGTTGTTTCATCCATCCATTTGATAGAAGCTTTCTTTAGTAATTATGTGGGTTCCTGAATCAGGTGAGGGTTCTTTGTTAGCACTAGATACCCTTCCAGAAATAAAATTTGTTGACTGCTATGTAGCTTAGCTAATTGACCTCAGGGTCACTGATACTTAAGATTCTTGAGGGCAGCGACTTTGTCTCTGCCAGCTTTGCATTCCCCAAGGTGTATGGCACATTGTAGGTGCCTTATAAACAAAATGTACAAATGAATCAATCTGCCATATTTTTCTGCCATTATTTTATTCCTTTTTTTATTGGGACAGAGGACCCAGTTCCCCAGTTTTCCCAGCATTCTCATGTATCCTCGTTTTAATTTTATCTTCAAGGCAGGACAAGCAAAAGATTTTTTGGAACCTCTTTTAGAAGCAAAAAAAGCAGGTCTGAAGTTGGCATTGCATCTTTCAGAGGTAAATAAAATTGTAAAATTAGGCTGGAGAGGATAGATCACAATGGAAAATAATAATCATGTTTAAATGGCTAAAAACATACCTGGCTTGGAAAAACATTTTTAGACGGGGGGGGGGGGGGGGGGGGGGTGGTGTAGGGGAGAGCAGAAATATTTTTAACATAAATTATAATGATAAAGGTATGACTTGTTTTAGTCCCTTATATTTGTTTTTGTTTTTGTGGTTCCTGGGATAATGGCTGTTGACTTCTAGTACAGCTATGTCTTTAAAAACATCTTAATGACATCTTGCTAGAGAAAATGCGTGTACTTCCATCATTGACCCTATCATTGGCAAGCTGACATTGAGAGAAGCACCAGTTCATCTCACTTGTCCTCGTAGGGCAAGGGACCTGAATGTATCACATGCACTGGCAAGAAAGAAAATAGCTCATCACCATTTTAGTAGGGAGATCAGGTGCCCTTCATCAGTCCCTAGCTCCTTGGCAGCATGAGAAAGTAACAGATAATGGCTGGAGAACAGTCACTTTCTAAGCACATCCCTGTGAGGCAAACAAGAGACTTTATTGCACTTTCCCCCATTTTACAGATGGTTTATTTCTTAATATTCTTTTTTTTTAACATACAGAAAGCTATATAATATATAATATATACAAGTAGAGTTTGGATTTGTTTTGTTTTTTCTTTATCCTCACCCGAGGACATTTTTTGATATTTTGTTCAGATAGAGTGGGAGGGGGAGAGAGAGAGAGAAACATCAACCTGAAAGGGACACATCGAGTGGTTGCCACCCACATGACCCAATGAGGGTCAGGGACAAACTGCAACCGAGGTACATGCCCTTAGTGGAAACTGAACCTGGGTCTCTCCAGACCGCAGGCCAATGCTCTAACCACTGAGCCAAACTGGCCAGGGCTGGATTTGCTTCTTTTTTTGTTGTTGTTAATCTTCACCCAATGGTATTTTTCCATTGATTGTTAGATAGAGTGAGAGGGAGAGACAGAAACATCAATGTGAGAGAGACACATTGATTGGTTGCCTCCTGCACGACCCTTACTGGGGCCAGGGATTGAACATGCAACCAGGTATGTACCCTTGATGGGGAGTTGAACCCCAGACCCTTTGGTCTGAGGGCCAATGCTCTAACCATTGAGCAAACTGTCCAGGGCTGGATTTGTTTCTTAAATGCAAGAAATAATACTTAGTCTATTTATCTTCATGGGGTTATCTTGAGTATTAGATGGGGTAATGTATAAAGGTTGAGTAGCATCATAATTTAAAGATTAAGGAAAAAATTGGAGCTTCTTGTCATTACTGGTGGTTTTCATGTCAACAAGTAAAGGGTCAGTTATCTAGTGGCAGAACTTAAAAAATCTAGGTTCTGTATTTCCACACTGTGATCAAAAAGGACTTTCACTCTTAGGACACCATCTAGCTGACCTGATACCTGATCGAAGCAATTAGTCAATATAATGAAACAGCCAGCACGTGTAACTGTAACCAGTTACCTTTGGTCTTGGGTCACAGCATCCAAGCTTTTTACCCTAGTTTCTGTTGCATTTCTTGCTTGATCCATTGAATATAAAATACTTCGTTTCAACATGTTATTGTGATTTGTCTTTTAGGCTATTGGGAGATAAAGACTACAACTAGACATTTTCATGGTAGTTGTGGTGTGTATGGAGCTAGCCTTGTCAAGTCTGGGCCCTGGAGTCACATGGAGCCAGATTTCACCCTTTCTGTCATTCACTAAATCTATGACATTGGACACCTTTTGTTTAAATCTATTATATTTTTAACTACAAAAGTTATATGTATCTGGAAAAAATCCAAGTGTAGAGAACTAGAATGTAGAAGGAAAAAATAAAAAATGAAGTCTCCTTCCCTTTTCAGTTGTGCTCTCAAGTTGATCCTGTAAACAGTTTTGTGTTTATTTTTTTCCAAACCTTTTTCTAATATATATGAACACACATACACAACACAAAATACATATACACATGGAGTTGTGGAATTTTTTTTTTTTTATCCTCACCCGAGGACTTTTTTCCATTTTTTGTTCAGGTAGAGTGAGGGAGAGAGAGGAACAGAGAGAGCGAGAGAGAGAGAAAGAGAAACATCGACATGAAAGGGACACATCGAGTGGCTGCCATCTGCACGACCAACCAGGACCGGGGACAAACCGCAACATGCCCTTAGCGGGAACTGAACCCGGGTCTCTTGGGACCGCAGGCCGACTCTCCAACCGCTGAGCCAAACTGGCCTGGGCTGGAATTTTGTTTTTGAAAATTATTCTTTCTGAGCTTTAATTTCTTCATCTTAATATTTTGCAAGATTCTTATGAAGTTTAAAGGAAATTTTATGTAAAAAGGCACAAAGGTCCTTAATAAGTGTTTATTATTATTATTGGACATAATTATTATTATCATGGAAATGAATCTAGAATATTGGGAAATGAATGGGAAGATAATAGGCAAAGAAGAGAGCTGGGAAGGTATAAGTAGTTCAACTTTCCAGAATGCCTGCATTAACCTTCTCAGGGACAGAGTGCACCTGGCTATAGAAAAAGCACTTTTAAGAACCACTGAAAGAGGTTATTGATGCTCCCTCTCTCCCTTTTTGAGATTCCAAGTTCCAAAAAAGAAACACAAGTACTCCTGGATCTGCTTCCTGACAGAATCGGGCATGGGACATTTCTCAACTCCTCTGAGGGAGGATCCTTGGATCTGGTGGACTTTGTGAAGAAACATCAGATACCGCTGGGTAAGGCTTAGGGGCTTCAGACAACCCTCTGTCCCTTCCACCCCCAGCTCCTAGATTGCAACCCATATATAGAGAAGTTTTGTTCTAAATATATAAATACCATTTAGAAAGTAAAAGATGTACGGTCTATGTGCTCTCTGAGCCTCATTTAAGTAACACAAAGTTTTAGCTCCCGTTAGAATATAAGGTCCATGAGAACAGGGCTCTGCTCTGTTTTATTCATTGTTACATTCCCCAGTTCCTGGATGGAGCTCAGTGTTATATTGAAGGAATAAGGGGCATCTAGCATTTTGAAATGACTTTAACCAAATTAACATGTTATGAAAATGTATAACATTTATTTAAAAATTAAAAATTTTGTAAAATTCAAAGTATATTATATGTCTGTTGACCATTACATAGTTAGTCTACATGTGGAGCTGTTTAACAGCATATATTTATGAAGTGCCTACCTGTTCCAATCGCTTTTCAAATTGCTGGGAATACAGCAGTAAATAAAACAAATAAGCTTGCTTTCTCAAGGAACTTATATTCTAGTAGAAGTAAGAGAGACAGTAAACAAATACACAGGAAAATATCAGTGTTAAGTTCTTTAAAGAAAGTTAAACAGGCTGATGAGATAACCACTTTGGGTTGGATGATCAAGGAAGGCCTTTCTGAAGAGGGAAAGAAGCAATGGACTGAAATCCATTTTACTGAAATGAATTCACTGAATTTACAATTTACCAATTTGTAAAAATACTTGTGTGGGTATGCATTTTTTTTTAAACTATAGACTTTTTAGCAATTCATAAGGGGTGAGGTTTTTTTTCTTTTTACTGAGGACATTTTTTTTTTTTTTAATCCTCACCCGAGGACATTTTTCGATATTTTGTTCAGATAGAGTGGGATGGGGAGAGAGAGAGAGAGAGAGAAAAACATCGACGTGAAAGGGACACATCGAGTGGTTGCCACCCGCACAACCCAACCAGGGCCGGGGACAAACTGCAACCGAGGTACATGACCTTAGCGGGAACCGAACCCAGGTCTCTCCAGACCGCAGGCCAACGCTCTAACCGCTGAGCAAAACCGGCCAGGGCTACTGAGGACATTTTTAACCATCAACTAAAGTAGATAAAATGGAAACCATAGTGGTAGAGATCTTGTGGTGGTGGTTCAGCTCTGCTCTCAGCACAGTGAGGGGGCAGGTTGGGTTTGCCCTCCCTTGGAATGAGTGGCCCTATGTTGAGACTGCCTTACCCAAGGGAGCAGAAGCCATCCATCAAGTCAGTGAAGTATTTTACTGTGCCTGGGGAACCTGGAACAGTGTTTCAAGGCAGGAATGTATTAATAGAAGTCATTCTTAAGATGGACTTACTTGCAGCAGGATGGTTGTCTGAATAAAGGAGGTCCCCTGGCCAGTTTGGCTCAGCAGTTGGAGCATCAGCCTGCAGACCAGACAGTTTCAGGTTCGGTTCCCTCTAGGGGCACGTACCAAAAAAAAAAAAAAAAAAAGAATAAACGAGGTGTTAGGGGTATCCTTTGAAGCCATGGAAAAGGTGCTATTTCTGCTCTTGGCTTCTTATAATCTGTGACCCTCAAGCAGTGCTGCTATTATCTTACTTTTATTTTAGCCTTCACTTTAAGACCAAGGAGAAGTGTAGCAACCCTTCAGATAAGTCTCTGGCTTCTTCTTTATATCCTCCTCTTTCCTCTCCATTTTGGTAAAAGGAAGGGGAAGCACATGGCTGTGAAGGGGATATTAATTCCCTGCCTGGCACGGTTGCTGCCATAAGTTGCACATATTTTCCGCACACTGTTTGAATTACAAATTTCCACACATAAGAAAAGGTCAATTTTAAAAAAGTATATCTTTATTGATTTTTTTAGAGAGAGAAACATCGATGTGAGAGTGAAACATCATTCGGCTGCCTCCTGCACACCCCTTACTGGGGATAGAACTGGCAACCAGGGCATGTGCCCTGAGTGGGAATCAAACCAGCAACCTTGCAGTGCACTGGACGATACCCAGCCAACTAAGTCACACCAGACAGGGCAAGAAAAGGTCAATTTTGTAAAATAGTGAACTACTAAAAATTAGCATAGTTTAGAAAGATTTTCCATGTATCTACTTAATGAATGAGCCTACTAATCTGCTTTTTTTAAAAATTATTTTTATTAATTTATTTTTGTTACAGATGTTTCTCCTTTTCCCCCCATTGACACCCTCCTCCCGATCTGCTAATCTGCTTTTAATAAAAGGCTTTTCCCTCCTTTTCATGTAGAACTCTGTTTGACCTCAAACATCAAAAGTCGGACAGTTCCATCTTATGACCAGCATCATTTTGGATTCTGGTACAGCATTGCCCATCCTTCTGTGATCTGTGTAAGGTGTTTTGTGTGAAGTATTTTGCTCCTTTTTAGTCCCTGAGTTGCATTAGGTGAGACATTCACTACCTAGCTGACTCCCTTGCATGCCTGAGGGTAATACTGCCCAAATAGAGGAGTGAGGGGACTGGGGCCTTAGAGGCTGCAAAGGGTTAGAGTAACTGTGGTTTGGCTGTAAGGGAAAAAGTCCTGGATGGTATCTAGGGGAACATTTAAAAAAAAAATAGTGATGCCCAACACCCATTCCTTGAGATTCTGCTTTATATGATCTGGGGAGAGTCCTGAGCACAGATATGGTTTAAAAGTTCCTTAGGTGATTTTAATATGCAGCCATGATTAGAGCACTGCTGTTTTGTTTTGTTTTTTTAATTATTATTATTTTTTTATTAATTTATTTTTGTTACAAATGTTTCTCCTTTTTTTCCCCATTGACACCTTCCTCCCCAACCCCCTTATCCTGTCCCCAGCTTTGTTGTCCATGTCCATCAGTTATGGGTACATGCATATAAGTTCTGTAGTTTATCTCTTCTCTCCCTCCACTCCCTCTTCTGAGGGTTGTCAGTCTGTACCCTACCTCCACATCTCTGGGTCTACCCTGTTCCTCAGACTGTTATGTTCATTATATTCCACAAATAAGTGAGATCATGTGATATTTCTTTCTCTGCTTAGGATAGTACTCTCCAGGTCCTTTCTTTCTTACAGCTGCATAGTACTCCATTGTGTATATGTACCACTGCTTTTTTATCCATTCATCTACTGATGGACACTTGGGCTGTTTCCAGATCTTGGCGATTGTAAATAGTATTGCTATGAATATGGGGGTACATATATTCTTTCTGATTGATGTTTCAGGCTTCTTAGAGTATATTCCTAGAAGTGGGATCACTGGGTCAAATGGCAATTCAATTTTTAATTGTTTGAGGCAACACCATATTATTTTCCATAGTGGCTGTACCAGTCTGCATTCCCACCAGCAGTGTACTAGAGTCCCCTTTTCTGCACACCCTCACCAACGCTTGTTTGATGATTTGTTGTTGGTGGCCATTCTGACAGGTATGAGGTGATACCTCATTGTTTTAATTTGCATCTCTCTGATGATTAGTGATGTTGAGCATTTCTTCATATGTCTCTTAGCCATTTGTATGTCCTTTTTGGAGAGGTGTCTATTTAGTTCCTCTGCCCATTTTTTAATTGAGTTCTTTGTCTTTCTTTTGTTGAGTTATATGAGCACTCTATATTTTGGAAATTAACCCCTTATCTGATATATCACTGGCAATTATGGTCTCCCATATAGTGGGTTCCCTTTCCATTTTGATGGTTGTTTCTTTTGCTCTGCAGAAGCTTCTTAGTTTGATGTAGTCCCATGTGTTCATTTTTTCTTTTGTTTCTGTTGCCTTAGGTGATGTATCAGTGAAAATTCTTCTGCATGTGATGTCCGAAATTTTGTTGCCTACATTTTCTTCTAGGATTTTTATGGATTCACGGGCCACATTTAAATCTTTTATCCATTTTGAGTTTATTCTTGTGTATGGTGTAAGTTGATGGTCTAGTTTCATTTTTTTTCATGTAGCTGTTCAATTTTTCCAACACCATTTATTAAAGAGGCTGTCTTGACTCCACTGTATGCTCTTGCCATCTTGTCAAATATTAATTGAGCATAATGTCTTGGGTCCATTTCTGGGTTCGCTCTTCTGTTTCACTGGTCTATATGCCTGTTCTTGTGCCAGTACCAGGCTGTTTTGATTACAGTAGCTCTGTAGTATAACCTATTATCTGTATTGTGATCCCACCTATGTTGTCCTTCTTTTTCAAGATTGCTGTGGCTATTCAGGGTCTTTTTTGGTTCCATATGAACTTTTGAAATATTTGTTATAGTCCTATGAAATATATCTTTGGTATTTTGATGGGGATTGCATTGAATCTGTAGATTGCTTTGGGTAATATGGACATTTTAATGATGTTAATTCTTCCAATCCATGAACAAGGCATGTGCTTCCACTTTTTTTATCTTCCTCTATTTGTTTTTTTTTTTTTGTCCTCACCCGAGGACATTTTTCCATTTTTTGTTTCGATAGAGTGGGAAGGAAAGAGAGGAAGAGAGAGAGAGAGAAACATTGACGTAAAAGGGACACATCAAATGGCTGCCACCACATGACCCAACTAAGACCGGGGACAAACTGCAACTGAGATACATGCCCTTAGCGGGAACTGAACCTGGGTCTCTCTGGACCGCAGGCTGACACTCCAACCGCTGATACAAACCGGCCAGGGCTATCTTTTTCTATTTCTTTTTTCAATGTCCTAAAGTTTTCTGCAAATAGATCCTTTACTTCTTTGGTTAAGTTTATTCCTAGGTATCTTAATTTTTTTGCTGTGATGGTAAATGGGATTGTGTTTTTAGTTTCTCTTTCTGTGACTTCATCATTGGTGTATAAGAATGCCATCAGCCCTGGCCGGTTTGGCTCAGCAGTTAGAGCGTCGGCCTGCAGTCCAGAGAGACCCAGGTTCGGTTCCCGCTAAGGACACGTACCTCGGTTGCAGTTTGCCCTTGGCCCTTGTTGGGTCATGTGGGTGGCAGCCATTTGATGAGTCCCTTTCATGTTGATGTTTCTCTCTCTGTCCGCCCTCTCCCTTTCACTCTATCTGAACAAAAAATGGAAAAATGTCCTTGGGTGAGGATAAAAAAAAAAGAATGCCGTCAATTTCTTGACATTAATTTTGTATCCTGCTACTTTGCCAAATTCATGTAAGTCTAGTAGATTTTTTTTTTTTTTATCTTCACCCAAGGATATTTTTCCATTTTTTGTACAGATAGAGTGGGAGGGAGAGAGAGGAAGGGAGAGAGAGAGAGAGAAACATCGACGTGAAGGGACACATCGGGTGGCTGCCACCCGCACAACCAACCAGGGCCAGGGACAAACTGCAACCGAAGTACGTGCCCTTAGCGGGAACCGAACCCGGGTCTCTCCGGACCACAGGCCAACGCTTTAACCACTGAGCCAAACTGGCCAGGGCAAGTCTAGTAGATTTTTGATGGAGTCTTTAGGATTTTCTATGTATAATATCACGTCATCTGTGAATAATGACAGTTTCACTTCCTCCTTTACAATTTGGATCCCTTTTATGTTTTCTTCACGTCTGATTGCTGTGGCTAAGACTTCCAGTACTATGTTAAATAAGAGTGGCGAAAGTGGGCGCCACGGTCTTGTTCCTGCTCTTAAGGGAAATGCTTTTAGTTTTTTTCCCATTAAGTATGATGTTGGCTGTAGGTCTTTCATATATGGCCTTTATTATGCCGAGATATGATCCCTCTATTCCCACATTACTGAGCGTTTTTATTAGAAATGGGTGCTGGATTTTGTCAAATGTTTTTTAGCGTCTATTGATATGATCATGTCGTTTTTATCCTTCATTTTATTTATGTGGTATATCACATTTATGCTTTGTGAATATTGTACCAGCCTTGCATCCTTGGGATGAATCCCACTTGGTCAAGGTGAATAATTTTTTTGCTGTATTACTGGATCCAATTTGCTAGTATTTTGTTAAGAATTTTGGCATCTACATTCATCAGGGATATTGGTCTGTAGTTTTCTTTCTTTGTAGTGTCTTTTTCTGGTTTTGGAATTAGAATTATGCTGGCCTCATAAAACGAGTTTGGAAGTCTTCCTTCATCTTGAATTTTTTTGAAATAGTTTGAGGAGAATGGGTGTTAGTTCTTCTTTGAATGTTTGGTAAAACTCCCCTGTGAAGCCATCCCGGCCTGGGCTTTTGTTTGCTGGGAGTCTTGATTACATCTTCAATCTCCTTAGTTGTTATTGGTCTGTTCAAGTTTTCTATTTCTTCCCAGTCCAGTTTTGGGAGACTATGAGCTTCTAGAAATTTGTCCATTTCGCTTAGATTGTTGAATTTGTTGCCATATAATTGTTCATAGTATTTGTTAACGATCCTTTGTATTTCTGTGGTGTCAGTTGTTACTTCTCTTTCATTTCTGATTTTGTGTATTTGGGTTCTCTCTCTTTGTTTCTTGGTGAGTCTAGCTAAGGGGGTCCATCAATCTTGCTTATCTTTTCAAAAACCCAGCTCTTTGTTTCATTGATCCTTTGAATTGTTTTTTGGTCTCTATGTCATTTATTTCTGCTCTGATCTTTACTATATCCTTCCTTCTACTTGCTCTGGGGTTTTCTTTTTGTTTGCTTTCTAGTTCTTTAAGTTGTGAGGTTAGATAGTCTATTAGAAAATTTTCTTGTTTCTTGAGGTAGGCCTGTAGTGCTATGAACTTCCCTCTCAGAACTGCTTTCGCTGCATCCCATAGATTTTGTGCTATTGTGTGTTCATTTTCATTGGTTTCCAGGAAGTTTTTAATTTCTTCCTTGATGTCCTCAGTAACCCATTCATTGTTTAATAACATGTTATTTAGCCTCCATGTGTTCAAATGTCTTTGTATGTTCTTGTTGCAATTGACTTTTAGTTTTATGCCATTATGATCTGAGAATATGCTTGATATGATTTCAGTCTTCTTGAACTTGTAGAGATTTAGTTTGTGTCCTAACATGTGGCCTATCTTTGAGAATGTCCCATGTGCACTTGAGAAGAATGTAAATTCTGTAGTTTTGGGGTGTAATTCTCTGTAGATATCTATTAAATCCATTTGATCTAGTGCTTCATTTAGAGTCTGTGATTCCTTGCTAATTTTTTGTCTAGAGGATCTATCCAGTGATGTCAGCAGGGTGTTGAAGTCCCCTGCTATGATTGTATTGCTGTCGATTTCTCCTTTGAAGTCCTCCAGAAGATTTTTAATATATTTTGGTGCTCTTATATTGGGTGCATATATGTTTACCAGTGTTATATCTTCCTGTTGGATAGATCCTTTCAATATTATGTAGTGGCCTTTTTTGTCTCTAGTTATGGCCTTCATTTTGAAATCTATTGTTATCAGATATGAGTATTGCTACCCCAGCTTTTTTTTGCTTTTTGTTTGCTTGGAAGATTTTTTTCCATCCCTTCACTTTCAACCTATGTGAGTCTTTTGTTGTGAGGTGGGTCTCTTTTAAACAACATATAGATGAGTCATGCTTTCTTATCCAGTCAGCTACTCTGTGTCTTTTTATGGGAGCATTCAGTCCATTTACATTTAAGGTGATTATTGATATGTACTTATTTACTGCCATTTTTGTTTAGTGTGGTTCTATTTTTCTTCCCATTTCGCCTGCTAATTACAGCAGTCCTTTTAACATTTCTTGCAGTACTGGTTTGGTGCTAATGTATTCCCTTAGCCTTTTTTTGTCTAGGAAGCTCTTTATTTGACCTTCTATTTTGAATAATAGCCTTGCTGGATAGAGTAGTCTTGGATTCAGATCCTTGTTTTTCATGACCTTGATTCCTTCATGCCATTCCCTTCTGGTCTGTAGTGTTTCTGTTGAGAAGTCAACTGAGCCTTATGGGGGTTCCTTTGTAGGTAACCTGTTGCTTATCTCTTGCTGCTTTTAGAATTATCTGTCTTTAATTTTTGGCATTTTAATTACTATGTGTCTTGGTGTGGGTTCTTCTTACTTGGGGCTGTCTGTGCTTCTTGAATTTGAATGCCTTCTTCCTTCACCAAATTAGGGAAGTTTTCTGTCACTATTTCTTCAGATATATTCTCTAACCCTTGAGGATATGTTTTTATTGATTTTAGAGAGAGAGGAAGGGAGAGAAAGAGAGGGAAACATGGATGTGAAAGAGAAACATCGATTGCTTTCCATATGTGCCCCGACTGCAGATGGACCCCACAGCCTAGGTGTGTGCCCTAACAGGAATCGAACCCGCAGCCCTTTGGTGTATGGGACAACAGTCCAACCAACTGAGCCACCTGGCCAGAGCTGTTTTTCGTTTGTTTGTTTGTTTTTTAAGGGTAAACAAGAGTGTTTGGTTATAGATAGTCATGGTTGCATTTATAGGCCTCTGTTTAGACCCTTAAAAGAAACACGGTAAATAGGAAAATAGACTAAACAAAAGTTGTTGTTTTGTTTAAAAAAATCATTTCCTTACTCATTTTGAAACTTTCTTCCTTATATTGGCAGACCGACGATAAGGGTGTTTTTGCAACACACCTTTCCCAAGAGTACCAGCTGGCAGCAGAAATTTTTAATTTGACCCCATTTCAGGTATGGGATCTGTCTTATAAATCCATCGACTACATCTTTGCTTCTGACAGAACCAAGTCTGAACTGAAGAGGAAGTGGAATCTTCTGAAACCCAAAGTGTTACATTTTTAAGCTGTAATGAGGTGAATTACTTTTGAGTATGTGTTGCAACTAAGATCTTTCTGCCATATTCCTCTTAGTAAACCATCCACCTCTCCCTTTGAAGAATAAGCAGCCAAGTTGCATGGACTTTATCACCAGTACCTTACTTATGGTGGTTGCTCAGTAAATATGTCTTAAATTGACTTACAGACTCAGGTCTTACATAGCTTACGTGCATGCTGCTTACAGGAAGGGGCATGAATGTTGCTGCTAACTGAACTCCCATTTCACTGCTGATTTTTACTTAACAGTCCTTTTCTAGTAGTGATCACAAAACTTCAGGAAATTCACAGTTGCTGCTACAACCTCCCCACCCTCTCCATCCCCAAGGGTGTATTATTTCTCTTCACCCCAATAACTCTTACTGCTACATTAAATAAAATTTTAAAACTTCAGGAAATTCAAAGTAGTTTCTCATCAGGAAAAGTTTGGGAATTATTATTCTAAGTAAGGTGAGAAGGGAAAACTGATTGTCACCAAGACCTTTAAGCCTTCTAGCTTCTGACAACAGCTATGTATTTTGTTATGCTTATTGTAATAAGACTCTCTTCACTTAAGTATTCCCCAAAACTGTTGACTCCAGACTACATTGCATACCATGGGCTTTTATGAATATCCAGTAGTCAGAGTTAATCTACTATATAGGTGACTCTACTGATAGATAAAGCTAGCTGCTGAGATCTGGCTTTGTCCTTCTCATGGTTAATTACTCTGGAATCAAGTTACTGATTTTTTTTTTAAAGTTTGTACCTTACCTTTCTCTTCTCTTATTTTGACCATAATGGAGCTGTGCCAGCCAGATGCTTCTTGAGCTGCAGGGTACTTTTAGGCTTCTATTTCTAGCCTTTACTATTTTTTTGTCATCCCCTACCCCCAACTTTACTCCCCCTCCTTCCTATTTCCAGCCTTTAATCTGACTTCCAGTTGTTCCAAAGCTTTGTTTCTGAAATAGCCCATGAAGGATGTAGGAGGAATTTAAACTAACTAAAATATCTCCATATAACTTGTTATCTTAAGCACCATGATGTCAGAGAATACTCAATAATATTTTTATGTTAAAACTTTGAGACATGCATTGGATAACTATTTGAGTACATAGAAGTAAATTTTTCATTTTAGATTTTGAATTGAATAATGGAGAGAATGGATCCATCCTTACATTCATATCTTATCTTCCCTTCCCTACATGGTCAGCATAAAAACAGTTCTCTATGGAGTTGACAAGACTCAGCCTCTACACTTAGATTATAGTAAAAGAGAAATGGCAGCAACAGAGAATATATATGTCATTAAGTTCTGTGGCATTAGTCATAGAGCACAAGCAGTAAAAGGAAGGATAGCATGGGGTAGGGGCGGGGCAGGGTGGGGCGGGGGGGTGGGTCAAAAAGAAATAACAGCACTAGGGAAACAACTGATGGGAATAAATAATGACTTCCCAGCTCCTGCTAATAATACATTCTTTTTTTTTTTTTTTTTTATCCTCACCCGAGGATATTTTTCCATTTTTTGTACAGATAGAGTGGGAAAGAGAGAGGAAGGGAGAGAGAGAGAAACATCGACGTGAAGGGACACATCAAGTGGCTGCCACCCGCACGACCAACCAGGGCCGGGGACAAACTGCAACCGAAGTACGTGCCCTTAGCGGGAACCGAACCCGGGTCTCTCCGGACCGCAGGCCGACGCTCTAACCACTGAGCAAAACTGGCCAGGGCTAATAATACATTTTTGCTTCCTTTGCTGCATATGCCACCAAATTTGGTCCCACAAAGGTCTTATGGGTATTAAAAAGAAGAGATATATAGATTCTCTTGCTCCCCCAACAGTGGGCTTGGTTTCCCTTTCTTAGAATGTTTGAAAATTATTATTTCTTACTTTTTCCATCCTTAGGCAAACTGAGTAGCAGAAATGGTTTGTGAGCTAGTTTGAGGTGAACTATTTTGTTCCCCAGTAAGAGAATTTGCCTTTGCCCTATTCCTTTTGTACATTCTCTTTATCAGGAGGTTGGAGGGCTGGCCCTGGTCCTGGTTTTTTTTAAATAACATTCTCTCTATATACAGATCATGCATGTATATCATCTGTATATAGATCATAATGGATATGGATACAGATACCAAGGAAGGATTTTCATTCTAATTTCTCTTTAATCATATTCTGTTCTGTTTCTCAGCCTAGAACATAAAAATTCAGATAGGCATTCTTTTAGTAACCCCACACAGGAAGCCAAAAATAAACAAGCAAAGATTTGTCTTTTCCTACCAGCAACAACTTAATCATAATGTGTACATATATATATATATATATATATATTTAAATACCTGAAGAAACACCGGGCACTTTATAAGTATAATTTTTATTAACATGGTATCCCTGAGAGGCAGATTAAGGTATAAACATTATTCTGCTTTACAGAAAGGGAATTGGAAGCAGGCTGATTTACACATAAGACATCTGGAACCAGAATTCATATCTGTTTACCCCAACCAATGCTTTCCCACAAGACTATACAAAGATATACTAAAGATAGTAATCTCTCATTTTTAACAAATAGCATATTTCCTAAACCATCTCAGATCTTGAAGCATTGCTTTAGACTGGTGTTTCTTATATCTTCCTGTCTGCTTAGGTAATATGACTGAGATACCATCTCCCTTTAATTCCTAATAAATGTTAGATCGTTTGTACTAGCACTCCTCAACATCAGAGCTCTAATTAACCTCTCATCTAATGCAGTAAGTTGTGAATTAACAGAATATTCTATCTCCCCACTCCTCTCCTAGATCTCACTCTAGCCACAGAACTGTAAATGTGAATGTGAAACAGCTACTCATCCTAGGCCTTGGCCATCTGCTCGTGTTCCTCTTTCCTGACCTGCCCATCAAAGTATCTTCTCAAGACACTAGTTTCTGACCTTTGTCTCTCATAGGAGCTAGTCTGCTGTAATCGCTTTCTTCTCTTCCAGTACCAGCCAGCTGTTTCCTTATCAATAACTACAGCACAGAACCTGATTTCCTATCGATGATGAGAGTATCACCTCCTGATCTGCCTCTGGCACTCCACATGTTTCAGCTAAGGTGATTCTTTGTCTGCCTTAGCACAGTCTGTATCATACTGTCCCTCAAATTTTGTGCTGCTCCAAGCTTTGTCTAACCTTCCTTACAGCTTCTCCTTGCCCTCTGCTCCTTCTGCAGAAAACACCTTGCTCCCCAATGTTCCCATTTCTCATCCAATCAGCACGCAGTTTTGGAAAGTTCATCTGTCTAATTTACCCAGTAACCTTCCCTCTTTTGAACACTTCCTGCTTCATGAAGCCTTCCTGAATAAAAAGAAAATTCCTCCCAGATTTTTCTGACAGAAAACTCTAATACATTAGACCTTAACATTTATGCAATGTTAACTAGTGTTAACTATTGCAACTATACACATGTACTTATTATCTGTCCATGTCAGTGTTACTTTAGATTGTAAGGACAGGAACTGTCTAATTTGTGCTGTACAGGGCTCATCATACTATGAAAAGATGGGTAATTAATGCAATACTATTTGATTATAAAGATCAGATCAGAATTACACTGAAGAGCTGCTTTTAAAAACAGATGTATACAGTTAAATATATGCACGTGTGTGTGTGTGTATTGGCAACTCACCTGACCAAAGATAATCTGTCCTCCTTGCCATTAGGGTAATGAGTTGTTGGCTTGGTTTGTTTTCCCAATCCATGGGAGTGTGGCAGTGGCTTCTGCTCCTTGTAAGTTAGTATTGAGCACCCATGGGGAACCTAACACTAGACTAGGTGTTGGAGTGTGTGGAATATAGACAATTTCCTATTGGCAGCTTTAACTGCTTTCCCAATCACCACATCCAGCTGCCTTGCTCTTTGGGCTTCTGGACCACAAGAGACAGATGAAATTCAGATGAGAGAGACAGAAAAAAAAAAAAAATCAAACTAGTTGCTATAAATGTAGTATTCTATTCCAGTTCTTCTAGGGCTTGGAAGGAACTAAGAAATCCAAGGTTAACACCTCAATATTTATACAGGGTTTACATTGTTTCCCCATATAGAACATTTAGGTTCTTGACAAGAAGATTCATAGGTGAGAATCAAGATGGACATTAAACTTTCCTTCCTTTAGGTAAATGAAGAGTGCCAGACAAATATAGAGGCTCCTGTACTTACGAGGTTACAATGGGGTAATGTCCAGATAAATCTGTCATAAGTGGAATATATCATAAGTCAAAAATGCCCTTAACCTACCAAACATCATTGCTTAGCCTAGACAGTTTCTATTAAATGCATATCATGTTCATACCATCACAAAGTTGAACTATTGTAAGTTGGGGACCATCTGTATTTCATTCTGGGCACAGGCTTAAGTGAGCAGGAAGAGTCATTCCTTTTAGTATTTCCATTACTGTATAAAGAGCTAGACCTACTCAATGAGCCAAGTCTCACAACTTCTCCCTGAAATGCTCTGTGATGTTTTCCACTCGAAATGCAGCTGAATAACAGCATTAGGAAAGAAGGGTACATGTCAAACTCACAGGACCTACAACTGTGTCCTCTGTATTACGGGAATAGCAGGAGAGGGATTGAAATCTTTTCATTCTTAAGATGACTGCCTTGAGAATTTGATTCAAGAGAAACAGAAACAAATGGTGGGGTAAATGCTAGAGTATTTCCTAAGCTATTTTGGCACAGATAGGAGATGGATCTCACTATTGAAAGACTTTTTCAAACAATTTCAATACATTTATTGAGGTTCTTTTTTAAAAAATAGATCCTCAGCGGCTTACTTAGGCACTGATTGTGTTAGAAGTTTTTCTCGTGTATGGATTTCTCTGTGCTTATTCAGAGCAGAGCTTTTACTGAAGCACTTGCCACAATCATGACACCCATAGGGTTTCTCTCCTGTGTGGGTTCTATGATGTGCACGTAAGTCAGAACTCTTACTGAAACTCTTCCCACAGTCAGGACATACATGGGGTCTCTCTCCTGTGTGTATCCTCCGATGTGCACTAAAATGAGAACTGTTATTGAAGCTTTTTCCACACTCTTCACATTGATAGGGCTTTTCTCCTGTGTGGGTTCTCTGGTGAATTATAAGGCTTGAGCTCTGATTGAAACGTTTCCCACACTCACTGCATTGATAAGGTTTCTCTCCTGTGTGGATTCTCCTATGGGTGATGAAATTTGAACTGTCACGGAAACTTTTCCCACAGTCAAGACATTTATAAGGTTTCTCTCCAGTGTGGATTCTCCGGTGTCTAATGAGGCGTGCACTCCGACTGAAGCTTTTCCCGCAGTCAGCACATTTATATGGATTTTCCACTTGATGAGATATCTGATGCATGAGGTGGGAGTTTGGACCAAAGCTTTTGCTGTATCTAAGATATTTATAGGGTCTCTCTCCTGAGTAAGGTCTCTGATGACTTAGAACTTTACCTAAACTCCTCTCTGGGAGTGTGGATTTTCCTCTTCTTTCTCCTGGGGTCCTTTCCCATCGTCTTCGGCAAATTTTCCTTTCAGACCTTGCAAGTAATGTCCTATGTAGCTGTACTTCCTCAGAAATATCCCGTTTTAGATTCTCTTCATTCTCAAATCCAGCCTCAAAACCTGACAGAATAGAATTTTTAAAATTATCCATTTCCTCAATTAGTATTTGCAGAGGTAAAGTATCACATTAGATGATTAAAAATAAAAATTAGGAGTTCTAGCTCTGGCCGGTTTTGCTCAGCAGTTAGAGCATCGACCCATGGACCAAAGAGTTGTGGGTTTGATTCCGGTCAAGGACACATACCTTGGTTGCGGTTCATCCCTCTCACATCGAGTTTTCTCTCTCCCTCTCTCTCTCTCCCTCCCTCCTACTCTGTCTGAAGATAAATAGAAAAAAAAAAAAAATAGGGTGTTCTATCTCTCAATTATCATCTATTAAAATGCCAGTGTTTAATTTTTCTACTTGATAACCTATCATGTTTCTCATTTACATAGGGCTTATCAGTATATTCTTTTAATTCTTCCTGGGTGCCCAGGATCTTCAGAAAATCTCAGTATTAACAAGAAAAACCTACCAGATTTAAAGCTATCACCATGTTTATTCAAGAAAAAACACTTTCTTTTTTTGTTAGTCCTCACCAGAGGGTATTTTTTCCATTAATTTCTAGATAGAGTGGAAGGGAGGGAGGAGGAGAGAGAGAGAAACATCAATGTGAGAGAGACACATCAATTGGTTGCCTCCGGCATGACCCAGACCAGGGCCAGGGATTGAACCTACAACCCAGGTATGTGACATTGACCAGAAATCGAACCTGCAACCCTTCGGTCCATGGGCTGACACTCTAACCACTGAACAAAACTGCCAGGGCCAGGAAAGACACTTTCTAATGCTGTATTTTTGCCTCATCTCAGACCTATTATGGTATTCTAGTTTATGTTCTTTGCCAGTAACTAAAGGGATTAAAAGGGAATGTCCAGGAAAACTCTTGGAAACTTGTATATCCAAAAATAGTTATAGAAGTCCCCTTCTGCTCAAATTCCAATATATGTTGACAATAAAAACAGGGTAGAAAAGCCCAGCCAGTGAGGCTCAGTGGATTGAGTGTTGACCCATAGACTGAGAGGTCCTGGTTCAATTCTCGGTCAGGACAAATGCCCAGGTTGCAGGCTCAATTCCCAGTTGGGGTTGTGCAGGAGGCGCCCAATTAATGTATCTCTCTCACATCAATGTTTCTATCTCTTTCTCCCTTCCTCTCTCTCTAAAAAAATTAATAAAAATGTTTTAAAAAATAGGGTAGAAAAATACTTGGTGTCTTTCAAAGAATAAAAGGCCTCTGAGAGAAGAAATTTGCTAGGAAGTGTCTTACTAAAAACATTCTTTTTACCTGTGGAAAGATAATCACTAAGTGCTTACTCTAATGCCCAAGCTAGACTTTTAATATTTTTCTAAGAACCAAATGCCAGGCTCCCCAGGCCTAGGCTTTGTGAACTTGCAAATTTTTATTTTGAATTTACAGAATTTTCAGATAAACTCTGGATCCAAATTTCCTGGACTAAATCTGAGATTTAGTCAGCCTGTACATATACCCCCTAAAGCAGTATTTCTACCTAGAAGCCCAGTCTTAAGACATGCCCCATAAAATAGAGGTTCATCAGATTAAATGAAATCTCAGAACCTTAAATATGTTTTGTGATCCTCCATGAGGGATATTCAGCATTTCCTAAACCTAGAAGCCATTTTTAAGTGGAATATATTAATGCCCCCATGAAACTGATGCTCCATGGAACACCCTTAAAGAATGTTGATCTAAAAGAACTTTTGGAAGAGAAAACTGCTATTTATTGAATATTTATTATGTGCCCAAGCACTGTGCTAGATGCTTCATCATGGTACCTCATTTACATCAGCTTTTTGAGGTAGGTCCTCATAGATAATTAAACTTACAGGGTTAAATAACTTTCTCTAAGTTTCTTAACTTACAAATAAGAGTCTAGATTTACATACATATACAGGGATGGGCAAAAGTGGGTTTACATTTTGAGTATGCCAAACAGAGCTTATTCTTGTATTAATTATTTATTAATTATTGTATTTATTTGTATTATTTGTTTTATTATTATTGTTACTATCCTTACTTATGATTAATCTTTTAGGCAATGATGGCTGGTAATTTAACCTGCTTTTGCCCATCCTTTTACATGTATGACTCCAAAATCAGAATTACTCTTTCCACAAGGAGGGAAACCATAACGAAGTATTTTCTTCATTATACCTCAGCTGAGATTCAAAGAGTCAATTCCCTCAGAAATCTCAGACTTTTGTAAAAGTGTATCTGAAGAAAGAGGTTACTAGGTTTCCAAATATGTGTATAAAGCAGACATACAGCTGGTATATAAGCTGAAACTAGAAGAACAAACAAATGAGAATGAACTTTTAAAACCAACTTAATTCAATTATGGGTACACAATATGCTACTTGGGAAATGTTAGCTTTCAGATTCCCTGCTAGGTAAACTCCCTAGAAACCAGAAGCTCACATGTAGATAATAGCAAGTTTGCAATCATCTTAGATTGATGCTGTGTGAGGAGGCAAGTCAAGTGAGTAATTTATATCCTCTTACTGAACTGCTTTAATAGGGGATATGGGGAAGAGAGAGGTGGTCACAAGAAGAATCCATGAGAGCTGGGTATAGAGGTTTCAATCTGATTATTTTTCCTAAATCCCACTGCTTCCCCTTTGCTATTTAGACCTTAAGAAGTGAAAGGATCTTACCACTAGGGCTCTGGAATAAGACTGGAGCACGTGTCATGACAGCCCCTGGGGGTAGCTCAGTATCTTCTTCATCCTCCTCAGAATCATCTTCTGTGGCCTCTTCTGCCTCCTCGGCTTGCTTCTCAGCCTCGCTGGTCTCCTGGATGGGACAAGAGGCTATGTCTTCTTGGCCATCACTGGGAGGGGCAGCAACCCGGGCACTCACCAGAGCATCCATCTCTTCAAAGAAGGGACAGGTATCTGGTGCTTGGCCATTCTTGACTTTCCGATAGCTGGTCTGTAGGCTTTTAAACTTGGTCCGACATTGCTCTGGTGTCCTAAGGAAGCCATATTCCCATAACCGCTCAGCCACTGCTCCATACAACTGGCTGTTGCGGTGACAGTTCTGGAGGGCTTCATAAAACTGAGTCTCACTAAGGATTGCAAGATAAGTCTTCGTCTCTTCATAACCCCAATGTACACCTGCCACCAGAAGAGAAATTTCAACACCAGGCTTTAGAGCTTCAATTCCTTAACCTTACTGACTGCGTCTTTCAAACATTCTTTGAAAGTTTCCCAAAGAATGACTCAAAACCTCAAGAAACAGTCTTTCTTAAATCACACTGCTGCCTAATCCCTATTACGGCCCTTCACTCACCACAATCAAAAGGAAAGGGAGAGAAGGGGAGGGGAGGGGAAGGGAAGGAGGGAGGGGGAGGGAGAGGGGAGGGGGAAGGAAAGGAAAGGGAAAAGAAACAACCCAACAATAGCAAAGACCTACTGAAAGAGTACAAGATAAGGACCTAATAGTCATGCACCTTATCATTAGGAGAGGACTGGCAGAAGCCAGAAAGAGAAGGAAGCAGAGCAGACAGCATCTCCTGGCCTGAACATGTACTAGTGCTGCTGGCCCCCGTTGGGCAGGACTTCATCAGGATAATTACAGACCCTGCTCCCTGAAGGTAACCAAGGTAGAGGGAAGGGAGATTCAAAGAGTCTTCCTCCCACTTGAGAGCCAGCTGGAGATAACAGTGCTTCCATTATCCTCCACTCACTGCAAGTAAAGAAGGGGAAAGAATGGGAAGACAGAAAAAGTAGTGGAAAAGGATGAAAAGACAATGAAAATTGTAGCAGCTGGCACACGTGCCACGTTTGTGATTTAGCTACATTTAGTCCAGTGACAAAAAAGGAAAAAGCATGAAGGAAAAAAAAAAAAGGAAAAGTAGAAGCTAGGTAGAAAATTAGAACGTAACTAAAATAACATCACATATACAATTAAAAAATGAAGCAAAGATCACTGTTCACAGTGGAACTAAACTTTACAGATGTAGTCCTGTGCCATTCCCCCGTCTACAGTTCAGGAAACAAGCTCTGAAATAGTAAGATAACTGTCCAGGGGCACTGAGCTGATTAGTGGTCAGGGTTAGAAACAAAGCCTCATGACTGGTACTTTGGTGCCCATTCCATAACAACATGGTTGTAGAAATTACATCAACAGTAATAAAGGATACTTACAAAACTGTTCCACAGGCAAATAATATTTCAACATAGAGTGTTAAACAAGATTTCTTGCTGCAGAACTTCTCACTCCTCTTAAAATGCCAGTGTGTTGCGAATCTCGAGAAAACTCAGAAAATGTTTCCCCAACTTTGGACAATCCTTCACTATGCTATTCTAAGTAAAAAGGAACATATAATAAACTGATTTTGAGATTTGGGGGAGTAAAAGATAAAATAAAGCGCGAGTTCTTATAAGGTGCTCAATACATATTCTTCTTAAAGATAAAAAATAGTGCCAAGATACTCCTTTTCTTGAATTTGCTGAGTGTATTTATTTAAAATACCTAAACTTATTCCCTACTTTCTAGTACCTCATTGATTTTCCCACAGAATGAAATACACATGGAACTGAGAAGTGCCTCTTTGTTCTCTTTAGTGAAAAAGCAGGCAGATGACATTAACTTCTATGACTCCACATCCAGCCTCATAACTCCTCAAGTCTAATCCCAAAACCCCAAGAAGAAAAGCTTCTTACCACTTGGGCTTCGGAAAAGGACAGGTGCAGTCGAGTTGCTGGGGTCCTGGGTGGTGTCTTTCTGGCTCATTTCATCACTGTCAGACTCTTCAGCTGTGGCCTCTTCTGTTCCCTCCTCATGCTGCCAACTCTCTGGCTTTGGCTCCTCAGTCTCAGCATCACTGCTTGCCAGGCCAGAGTGAGAGGCTGCCTCTTCCAGGCCATTACTGGGTAGGGCAATGACCTGAGCGCTCATCAGGGCTTCCATCTCTTCAAAGAAGGGGCAGGTCTCAGATGCATGGCCACTCTTGACTTTCCGATAGCTCTTCTGGAGACCTTTGAACTTGGTCCGACATTGTTCCAGGGTCCGAAGGAAACCATACTCTCGGAGCCGCTCAGCCACAGCTCCATATACTTGGCTGTTTCGATGACAGTTTCGGAGAGCTTCATAAAATTCAGTCTGACTGAGAATTGCGAGGAGAGTTCTGGTCTCTTCATAGCCCCAGTGCACACCTGCCACTTTCTCATCCTCAAAGCCCCAGTGATCCTGTTCCACCCAGCTTCTTTTCTCTCTCCTGGATGGCAACAGGTCAGCATGCATTTGTCTGTCTCCTGTGAGACTGCCTCTTGGGAGTTCCTTTTCCTTGGAGCCCAGATCTGGGATCCAAGGCCCTCCTTGCTCCAACCTGGAGACCACACCGGATTTAGGAAATGGAAATCCTGCTTGCAGGGAAGCAAACAAAGGATGTCAAAATTTGGTCTGATCATTTTTTTTTTTAAATCGCTGAGTTCAGACCTACCTTTTTTATCCAAAAGGTTTATAAAGAAAATGTCTAAGGAAATATTTTCAGAAAGTGCAGTGTTGAAGAAAATGGGGAGAATACATGAAACCTCAAAAAACGAGAAATGTGTTATTTTCCAGAATAGGGTGACAAGAGAAAAGGATTCTGTGTATGTTCACAACAGATAACTCTGTTCCAAATTGCTCCCTAGCCCTCCTGACCACATGTAGGCAGGTCATGACACTGCTGGGAACAGTTACCTCCTGTCTCATATAGTTAGTTCTCCACTTGGGGCTAGAAAATGAAACATTTCAAAGGGGAGGGGAGCAGAAGGCAAATCGTCTTCAACTCATGATTCTTTCACACTCAGTCACCAAGTTCTAAAGGTTTTTCCTTAGTATGCCCTCTAGTCCTACTGCCACCGTCCAAGTCTAATCTCCTCACCTTCTCACACCCAGATAACTGCAACAGTCACTGTTCTACCTAGCTCCAGGCTCTTGATTCCTCAGCTCACATGCTGTACGGCTGGGCCTTAACCTTAGTGCCTACTAGGCACTGTCCATTCATATCACACTCTCCCCTTCCTATCTAAATTTAACCCATTCTTCAAGCTGTATTTGCCAATGACCCACGAAGCCCCCCTTCATCTTCCACTCTGCCAAATTCCTGTTGTACTCACACAATTGAGTAACAAGTCATTGTTTAGCATTATTTCAGTACAGTTCAGTTGAGCACATATTTATATTTGCTGTTTTGTTCTCAATCATATTATAAGTTCTTTAAGGATAGGCATTTTTCCTTATTGCACAATACCTTAAGGTGTCAAGCAGATGGTAGGTGTTCAAAAACTGATGAATTCTACAAGCCTGGGTGTGGGGTTGAGGGATTGCATATGGATGACTAGACTAGCTGAGAAGGCCAGTGTCTTTGACGATAAGGTCAGAATCCAGAACAACCTCAACAAGTTAAAGAAATGATCAAATAAAAAAACATACAATATGGAGTTCAACAGAGTACAAAGAAGAAACAGCTCTACAAAATCATGTACAAGATTAAGTGCTAGGCTGGAAGACAACAGGGAAGGCTATGAGAGTCCTGGGAATTACCAGGTGAACAATAATCAAGTAATTAGTTGAGCTATACTGAAAGAAAACAGTAAAATTCTGAAGTAAACTTCTTAGTCTGCCTCAACCTATCAGATCCTCACTAGAATAATATATACAACTTAGTTATCCACAATTGACATATTTGTAGAACTTAAAATTTACAAGGGAGAGTAACAAGAACTTAGTACATCTGAATAATGGAGCTTCTGGGGAAAAGCTTAAAGAAACAATTAGTTTATTTCAGAGAAAGAAAATTATTAAAAGGAAGACGTACCTTCAAGAATAGAAAATAATTTTTATGTAGAAAATACTGACCTAGTATCATCTAGTATCATCATTACCAAGAGGAAATAAAATAGTTCAAAGTTCTGATAAAAACTAAAAATAGTTCAAAGTTCTGATAAAAACTAGGGGACTATCCCTCTGGCAGGCTTATCAAAAGAGGAGATAAAAAGAACATTTACTGCAGCACAGAGCTAAACTATATGCCTTCAGAAGGTCCCCAACAACCACATACTCTACAATTGCCACTCATTCCTGAAACCCTTTCCCACTCACTATTCCCAAACACCACTTCCCAACTTAGAATGGTATCCTATCTTCCCATGTGAATCTACTCCTCACCGCTCCTTTGAAAAGGTCTGAGCTTCTCCTTTGGTTTCATCTGCTCCTGTGGTCCCAGGTCTGGGCTTCTTGCCCTCTCTTTCTTGGGTACACCCCTGGACTGGGGTTCCACTGACTCCTGCCGAACACTTAATAACTCTCGTGATGATTTCAGGGGTGTCATCTTCTCCAAGCGCACTTCCTGCCCCTTCACAGAGACTGTGACCTAGAAACAACCCCATTAATTGTCACTGCAGGGTCATAACAAGGGGCATTCCCAGGGGAGATTATTTAATACTTAAAAAAGACCACCATCCTTTTGGGACATGGCTAGGGTTGCAGGTGGTGGTGGTAATAGCTAACAAGAGTCATTCTTACTCCATTACTGTTAGCTTAGAGCAGCTGGAACTCCAGAAGGAAAAGATCAAAATAGTAAATCCAACTACAAGCTAAAAAAAATCCCTTCTTCTGTATTAAATAAAAAACTGAATCTTATGAATAACTCATGGTAACAGAAATAGCCAAGATACACCCAGGTAGCATCTCCAAATAAGCTGTATCTGAAAAAGTGACCTGATCCAGGATCAGAAGTGTAAGCATTACCAAGGGAGATTGCTCCCTTCTTTAAATCTGTCTGTACTTTAATTTGACCCCTTATCCTTTCCCCTGCCTAGTCACACACTTCTGAATTCCCCCTCCCTTCTCACCGAACGTCCAGGTCTTCCATGCTCTCTTTCTAAATCTTCCACCAGAGCCACAGCCTCCTCTCCATTTTCTGGACATTGCTCCTGTACCCATTTCTGGATCTCCCCAGGTAAGATGGTCAGGAACTGTTCTAGCACCAACAACTCTACAATCTGCTCCTTGGTGTGCACCTCCGGCTTTAGCCAGCGACAGCAAAGTTCCCAGAGTTGGCTGAAAGCCTCCCGGGGCTCAGCTACCTCCTGGTAATGAAATTTCCTGAAGCGCTGTCGGAAGGTCTCAGAGTTAGTGCTATTCCCTCTCAGAGTGGGTTTGGCCATCATTCGCAGCAGAAAGCAGCTTCCCTCCAATTAAGAGTCTGGGTTCCAGGGCTTACACCTATCTTCCCATGTCCTTGGAGAATCACCTGCTGATGAGTCTCCGAGAAGTTTCCTCCTAGGGTGGAGAGAGATGGCACTATCAGAAGGAATATACTCATATGTCTAAAGTCTTGCCAGAGCTGGCCTGACTTCCCATATATATGCTCCATGTGGCCATCTGAGGTAGCACCAACTTTAGGATAGCAAGCCAAAACTGAGCATGAAGAGAAAACTTTCAAAAGCTGCATTTCCGGGCGACTTCCCAGGGCAGCCTGGGGAAGCAGCAGAAAAAAGAAAACAGTCTGCTCCTCTACCCCCTCCCCCAAATCTGATCCCATTTAGCTCCACTGACCAATGTTGCATAATGAGTTCGAACCATATGGAAGACCTGGAGCTCAGGATCTAACAAGTCACCATCCTGCTCAAGGCAACAAAAAGCCTCTGTCCAGCGGGGCGCAGCTGATCTCCCCCAGGCTCTCTACGTCCGCCCTGCCCCCTTGGACTCCACAACTACCAATTCCCACCCCAGACAAAAATCAAGTACTGAATACTGGGTCTTTGTTTTTCCTCACAGCAGATGTAACCGCTCAGCAAATATTCTGACGGGAAACCTCGCGACTGGGAGAAGTTGGTTTTGGCTCCTGAAGCGAGTGTCGGGTGGGCTTGGGGAGAGATGCACTGAGTTGGTGGAGAACGGGAGTCCGAGGGGGTAATGGGAATGGATCTCCTGAGGACGAGCTCGGGTGCCGGCCAGGAGATCCGAGTGCTGCGGAGTTCGCGGGCGCGGAGCTCAGCTCAGGGAGCGGCGGGTGCGGGGTTCCGGCCTCTTTGTCTTCGCTCTCTCCGGCCAGGTCACTATCGGAGCCGTGGTGCAGTCCCCTCCAGAGACCCCCTGCCGGGCTAAGGTGCCTGAGAGCCTCTCCAGCACACCCCTGGAAGTGTCTCTCTCGGGCTGTCCCTCAATCCACTCGCCCCTCTGCCTGCGAGCCAGCCTCATCGACCCGGGGTCGGCCCCAGGCCCGGCTCTCCAGCCTTCTTTCTAGTCCAGCTCCCAAACCGGAAGTCCAAGCGGGTGACTAGGCCACCGAGGGCGCATGCGCAAAGCCAGCTACCGTGACTCAGGCGAAGCCTGGGCTGTAGAGAGACGGTGGGCCCGGCCACCGCGGCGTACTTCCGGGACGCGGCGCGCCGACCCTCTCTCTGCTTCCCGCCCGCTGCTCCCGCAGCAATTGTCTCGGCGGGTGGATTCAGGAGGAACCGTCGGTCCCAGGGGCCTGGGCGCGTGTAGAGAAGGGAGCATTGGATTCTGTGGTTGCCCGGAAGGGCGCTGGATGAACGAGAGACGTATATAGGGACTCGAGGTCCGCCGTGGGAATGATCCACGAACTGCTCTTGGCTTTGAGCGGGTACCCAGGGTCCATTTTCACCTGGAACAAGCGGAGTGGCCTTCAGGTACTGACCGGCCCTCAGCGCGGGAACTAGCGAGGGCCGAATGGGTAGCTGTGAGTCAGTGCATGGGGGAGGAGTCTGAGGGACCGAGGGGCGGGGCTCGCAGGGGCGTTGGGGGCGGGAGCCTTGTCCCTGGTCAGTGACTGGAGGGCCGTGTCCCCGGGCGCCCCGGGGTGCTGCTCACACTAAAAGAGCTGGGCCTGGGCCTGGGCCGGGAAAGGGAGGGCAGACCCAGAATGGCCCCGCCTTCGGGAGGGAGAGGGAAACCCAGACCCGGTCTAAAGATGATATGTTTGAGCAAGAGTTTCGGGGGAACTGGATGTAAAAGTGAGGGAGGCATTTTCTCCCATTTTCACTCTTGCACTCTATTTTAAATTGAGTTTTGAAAGCTAGACCGACTACTTAGCGTTTAACATACAATAAGGGTCCAGCCAATTTTGTTGAATGAAAAAATGTATGCGTGTTTCTGTCATGACATCTTTCTCAGGAAGTTTAAGCACTAGGAGAATTTGGAAGGGGGCCTTCGTGTAACCAGGAATGTATGAGGAGGAAGGGCTATATACTATATGCATTATCTAATTTAATCTTCATAACGACCTATCTTCATATCACAAATTAATTCCCAGTGTCACGCACCTAGGAATTAGCAAGCTTGGTTTTGAACCCAAGTCTGTCTGGCTCCAGTATCTAAACTACTCTTTTCTACTTATGCTTCCAGTAATGTTATCCTCTGAGTAAGTTAGTAACTAGGTATTGTTAGCTCCAGTTGACAAATGAACAAACGGAAGCTCAGAGAATTTTATGATGGCTAGTCCTGGTATTAACAAGATTTGTATATAGCTTTGTTTGATGACAAAGTCATGCCTATTCCAATGAGAAATGGCAGTATAGGCTGGGCAGGAGCAGAAAAATAATATTCTTAGTCTATAAAGCCTATATATCAATTCTCTAACCGCTGAACCAAACTGGCCAGGACTATTTTTCAGTGTTAAAAAGGAAAGAAATTCTACAACATGGATGAAACTTGGAGACACTACTGAATGAAATAAACCAATCACAAAACACAAGTATTGTATGGTTCTACTTATTTGAGACACTTAGTCAAATTCATAGAGACAGGAAATAGAAGGGTGGTTGCCAGGAGCTGTGGAGAGGGAGAAATGGGAGTCTTTGTACATGGGGACAGTTTCAGTTTGGGAAGAGGAAAATGTTTTGGAGCTGGATGGATGGTGATGATGGTTGCACAACAATGTGAATGCACTTAATGCCAAGAACTTAAAAATGGTTAAAATGGTAACTTTTATGTATATTTTGCCACAGTTTTGTTTTGTTTTTTAAGTTGGTTGAATGACTACATTCTCCTACTGCTTTTTTCTACTTGGACTGCTTTGTAACCTTTATACAGCATACTAGGCTATCATTTAAATTAAAAATACAAATAAAAATATGGATACTAAATGTATGTGTCCAGTTATAAGGGTATTTTTACAGATTATAGTATGCTACATTTATTTACATTTTTATTGAAATGAAAACAGGATTTAAAATTTCATAGAGACTTTACAAATCATAAGAATATCTTTAAGAAAGACTCTGCTAAAGACAATTTTGTTGCAACCAGGTCAAAAACCTCATATCTTTAAAGACTATCCCTGAAATATTCATAAAAAAACAGGTGTGGTAACTACCTCTGAGGGGAGGTAGTTATTTTTAATGTACATCATTTTGTATTGTTTGAATTCTTTACCATGTGTTACCACTTATTTCAATAAAGAACTAATTAGGTGGGGGGTGGGGAACTGCACCTTTGTAGTGGTTTGGAAATACTTTTGTTTTCCAGAACTTACCAATCTTAAAAGGGTTTCTTGAGAAGGGAAACACTAAATAGCACCCAGCATTGGAAGCACGGCAAAGACCAGATGGCAGTGCATCACAGGGATCAGTGCTTTCAGCCTGCTTCCTTTCCTGCAGGTGTCACAGGACTTCCCCTTTCTCCATCCCAGTGAAACCAGTGTCCTGAATCGACTCTGCCGGCTGGGCACAGATTATATTCGCTTCACCGAGTTCATTGAACAGTACACAGGCCATGTGCAGCAACAGGTAGGATTCTGTTCTCTGGGGAATGTACACCTCCAGAGGGCGGGAGCTATGTCAAGCTTTCAGTGAATTTACTGATAATTCATGTGAAATAAGTCGTAAGAAGTTAGGAATTTCTCATCACTGGAATTATTCAATTGAAGGCCAGGGTACTGTACCTCACACAAGGGGAAAATACCCACAGGGACTAATGAGGCAGAGGTATAAGAGAAAATATGTTTTGCCCTGGTCATTTTGGTTGAGCGGTTAGAATGTCGGCCCGAGGACCAAAGAGTCATAGGTTCAATTCTGATCAAGGGCATGTGCCTCGGTTTCGATTTGATCTCTGGCCTTGGTTGGGGTCCTGAGGGAGGCAACCAATCAATGTGCAAAATCTCTTGGATGGATTCCCCCCCCACACACTCTATCTGAAAATCAATGGGAAAATATCCTCAGGTGAGGATTAAAAAAAAATTTTTTTTAAAGAGAGAGAGAAAATATGTTTTGCCTGAGTTTTAGAAGACCTGAATTAAATTATTTTGAGCTGGACCAGAGTTCCAATTCCAGAGGTGAAAACATAAAGGATTATTTCAAATTCCTTTGCCACTCTGCTTCTAACTCTTAGTCACATTGAGGCAAACAACTAAAATCTTTGGGCTTCATTTTTTTTTTTTTATCCTCACCCGAGGACATTTTTCCATTTTTTGTTCAGTTAGAGCGGGAGGAAGAGAGAGAGAGAGAAACATCGATGCGAAAGGGACACATCGAGTGGCTGCCACCCACACGACCAACCAGGGCCGGGGACAAACTGCAACTGAGGTACGTGCCCTTAGCGGGAACCGAACCTGGGTCTCTCTGTACCGCAGGCCGACGCTCCAACCGCTGAGCCAAACCGGCCAGGGCTGGGCTTCATTATTTAAATGTGTAAATAAAAAGTTAAACCAAAGAAGGTGCTTAGTACATAGTAAGCACTTAATAAATATTAGCCATTATTATGAATTAATTGGAAGTCAATATAATGTAGAGGTCAAGGATTTGTGTCCCATTCCATTACTCACTGGCTATAGACTGCTCAGCAGTAACCTAGGCTCAGTTTCTTTATCTATAAAATGGGGATAATAGTACAGTATCTATCTCATAGGATTAAACAAGGTAATTCATAGGAAATACCTGGTATATAGTAAGCACTCAAATTTTTTGAAACAGTTCTCTTTATTTTTAACAGTTTGTAATTCTTTCTTTATTTATTTATCCTCACTCGAGGACATTTTTTGATATTTTATTCAGATAGAGTGGGAGGGAGAAAGAGAGAGAGAGAAAAACATCGATGTGAAAGGGACACATCGAGTGGTTGCCACCCACACAACCCAACCGGGGCCGGGGACAAACTGCAACCGAGGTAAGTGCCCTTAGCAGGAACTGAACCCTGGTCTCTCCAGACCACAGGCCAATGCTCTAACCTCTGAGCCAAACCGGCCAGGGCTGTAATTCTTTTTATTATTATTATTATTTTTGAAAGTAATACAGATGTCCCCCTTTTTCCCCATTAACCCCCTTCTTCCTGCTCCCACCCACCTCATGCTTTCCCCAACCTAATGTTGGTGCCCATTGGTTATGCATATATGCATTTAAGTTCTTTGGCTATCTCTTCCCACCCCTCCCACCCTCTATTCCTCTGAAGTTTGTCAGTCTTTTTCCCTACTTCCACGTCTCCAGATTTTTTTTGGTCGACAGCTTATTTTGTTCATTGTGTTCCACAAATAAGTGAGATCATGTGGTATTTGTTTTTCTCTGACTGGCTTATTTCACTCAGCATAATACTCTCCAGGTCCCTCCATGCAGTCTATAATTCTTGTTAGTGGTAAGTAAAAAGACTGCGAAGTTGTCTTTTTTCCAGTTGAAGGAATAACTCTGCTTGAGGGGAAAGGTGGGGACTTCTACGAAGGAAGTGGAAGGATGCTTTTCTGAAACAACACACTCAATACCCTCTGGCCTCTGCTATTTAAATTTGTTGTCAGGCCTTTGGTATGTCAACTGATGGTCATTGGTGCCAATTCAGTGCCAACAAGAATCCCCAGTTTGGGGTGTGGTGAAGAAGGAAACTTGATTCAGTGCAAAACAGCTCAATTGTGATATAGCACAGCTATAGAACAGCAATGGAGCCAGGCCCCTCTCTAGCGAGACCGCTCTGCTCCTCAGAGGTCATGCTCTGGTCTGCTCCATTCTGCTCTTGTGAAACATCTTCAGTGTTTCAGCTCAGCCAGGAAGATGCTGTCTTTAGTTTTCGATAGAAAGGGAAAGTGTGCTCATCCTGGCCAGATAGCTCAGTTGGTCAGAGCATTGTCCTGATACACCAAGGTTGTGTGTTTGTTTCCAGGTAAAGGCACATACAAGAATCAACCAATGGCCTGGCCAATGTGCCTCAGTAGTTGAGCGTTGATCCATGCACCAAGAGGTCACCAGTTTGATTTCTGGTCAGGGCACATGCCCAGGCTGTGGACCAAATCCCCAGTGGGGAGCATGCTGGAGGAGGCCAGTGTTCTCTCTCATTGATGTTTCTATCTCCCTCTCCCTTTCTCTCTAAAATCAATTAAGAAAAAAAAAAAAAGAATCAACCACTGAATGCATAAATAAGTGGAACACAAATTGATGTCTCTCCCCCTTCCTCTTTCACTAAAATCAATCAATCAATAAATATATATTTTTAAATTCCCTTTAAATACAGTGCATTTTCTGAGCCAGAGGGGAGCTGGCTTATCTGGACAGAAGTCCCCACCCCTGCTCCCTGATTAGTCCATCCTCACTCAAAAGAAGGCTCTGAATCCTCACAGTTTGATTGGCCCAAAAGGCACTATTCTGATTGGTCAGAATAGAACAGCTCTGATTGGGTAGGGAAAGCTTTAATCCTGTTGGTTGAAATCGGATTCCAGGAAACCTTTATAAGGATTGTCTCACGTGGCAGAAATACAGTGCAGCTCAGGCTTCCTTGAAGTGTAGTTTGTGTAAGAGGCCCCTGTGTAGAAATGGCTTTTAGGGTCTGGTTGGTTTGCGTTTTTGTTTTTGTGGGTTTTTGCTCTTTTGTTTTTGTTTTTTTTTTTGAGCCCAGTTAGCCACCAAGAGCCCTTCTTAGTGGGTGTCTTTTTCTCAGGGTTCACAGGTGGTAATCTGTGGGGCAAAGTTGTTGGAGGATAATGCCTTATGTTTTCATCTCTGGGACAGGAATGCTTGTTCACTTAAACTGATTTTATTGCAGAGAAAATACATAAGCTAAACATGAGTTTAAAATCCAATCAGTGCCAGTAGCTATGAAATCATATTAAGAGAACACACTTAATAATCAAAGTTAGAAACTATACATATATTAATATAGATGAGCCTTACATCTATATTAATGTGACATTTATTAATTAAGATATACATTATATTATATTAATCATATTATATGGTTAATATAATATAGAGATACATTATTAATATTAATAATGTGTTTTTTGGGGGTATGTAATACCTAAAAGAAAACATGTTCTATATTCATGTGACTTTGTGGTCTTCATCTTATATGATATGTGAATTTCTGCTTTCCCAATTCTAAAGATACCTGTAGGACCTCTTTTATTTTGTGATAAGTGGAAGACATTCAGTTCTCTGGAATGACAGAAGATCAAAACAAAACTGACTGGTTATAAGCCAATCAGGCCTATTTCACCCTGTGCCCATGCTGTTCGTATTACAGCTGTGATCATTTATCTCTAGAAACTACTAGTATCCTTTGCAGCATCTTCTGGCTACACTATACCTTATAACCCCTGAGCTCAAGCTTCCTACCACACTTGTTGCTGAATTCTGCTGTCGTATCTACCACCACCAGAGCCCGATCACTCAAATCAGTACCTAGCCAGAGAAGCTAGTCATCATGACCACTAGTCAACTGTTAACCACAATTCCCCATCTACAATTACAGAAGAAGCTCTTAACAAAAGATTGCAGGTTTCCTGAAAAGACATGTTTGTAAATAGCTTCTTTTTTTTTCTTTTTTATCCTCATCTGAGGACATTTCTGCATTTATCTTCAGATACAGCGGAAGAAAGAGAGGGAGAAAGAGAGAGAGAGAAACATTGATGTGAGAGAGACACACATCAAGTGGCTGCCACTGACACAACCCCAACCGGGGCTGGGGACAAACTGCAACCAAGGTACAGTACATGCCATTAGCGGGAACCAAACCCATGACTCTCCAGTCCGCAGACCAGTGCTCTAACCACTGAGAAAACCAGCCAGGGCTGTAAAAAGCCTCTTAGTAAGAGTCTCATCACTTCCCATATTGGCTATCAGATTCTTGTTCAGATGAATTGCCATGCCAGGCAGGAGAAGGGATGTTAGAGTGAGGATTGAAGTCATTTTACTTACTCAGTAAATGTTTACCTTCTGTTCAAAGAACTGTGCTAGGAGCTAAAATACAAAAATGAATAAAATGTAGGCCCTTCCTTCATGAAGCATTTGGTCTAGTGACAAAAATAGACCAAATTTGGTCTAGGGACCAAAAAGAGATGCTATGAAAGCAACAAAGGGGGAAGCTATTCATTCCCTAGGGAGAGTTAGGAAGGACTTTGCAGAGGAGAGATGCTTGAATTGGGTTCTGCAGGAAGAGTAGGTATTTGTCACAAAGATGAGTGTACAGTTATAAGCAGAAAACACTGAAATTCACGGGGCTGGGAAATATAAGCAAGGCACATTTGGTGACGTGTGGGTAGTTTGAAAATGAGGATGTGAAGTTGGACGCAGTGAAGGAATTTTCAAGAGCCGGGCCGGTGTGGCTCAGTGGTTGAGCGTAGACTCATGCACCAAGAGGTTGCCAGTCAGGGCACACGCCCAGGTTGTGGGCCAAATCCCCAGTGGAGTGCATGCAGGAGGTAGCCAGTCAATGTTCTCTCTCATTGATGTTTCTATCTCTCTCTCCTTTCCTCTCTCTAAAAATCAATAAAATAAAATTTTAAAAAATAAAAGAATTTTGATGAGAGGTAAGGGCCAGAATGCAGAAGTCATTGCATGCCATGTAGGGAAGTTTAAATATTATTCTGGGTACTGGTAAGTCATCAAAAATATTTAAGCCAAAGTTATAATGAATTTTAATTCAGTCGTAGAAAATTCTCCAATGACAATATGGAGTACTACCTGGTTGTAACGTCTGGGCTGCTTGGAAAGTTAAAATATCGCATTTTAAAAGGTCAGAGCTCAAAATCTGTCTCTTTAGTTGGGTTTTCCTCTCACTGAAGCACTACTTTGATATGGAATTATTTAAGCAAAAACAATATCACTAATAAAGGATAAGGTCTTTTTCAGATTTCAGGATCTGATTTGAGAATTGATTTCTCTTTGATTTCAGGATCACCATCCATCCCAGCAGGGCCAAGGTGGATTACATGGAATCTATCTAAGGGCCTTCTGCACAGGTCTGGACTCAATTTTGCAGCCTTATCGACAAGCACTGCTTGATTTGGAACAAGAGGTGAGAGAGCGTTAAGATGTGGGAACAACACCTCGAGGACAGCACATTAGGGCATGTTTTTTAATTTGAAATGCCCTTTGATATGGTTAGGTAGTTAGGAGTAAGCTATTGTCTGCATGGCTAAAGAATACAGTGTACTCTGTGATTATCCAAAGCATGATCAAAGTGGCGTGCAGATCACGGAAGAAGTTCCTGAGTGAGTATCTAAGAGCCCTAGCTTGGATTTTGTTATCACCTGAAAATCAGAATTAATAGTCTTCTATAAATCATCAATTCTCAATAGTCTAAAACTACCACTAAGCCCATTCTCAGATTTCATTATAGTTTTCATAGATCAAATAGATTTGAGATATTTTGTATGGAGCCCTAATTACAGTGTTTTTTTGTTGCAGTTCCTGGCTGACCCCCATCTCTCTATATCACATGTCAATTACTCCTTGGATCAGGTATGCTGCTCAAATAACAAAATGCCTTAGAATCTGTTGATAGTATTAGAATAATCTAATTTATGGCATTTTTTTCTTCTGAATTCAGAGCCCAGCATTTCATATTTTGTTTATTTTGTTGTTGTTTAATCCTCCCCTGAGGATATTTTTTTCATTGATTTTTTTGTTTGTTTATATGGGGGGCGGGTGCAGAGAGAGACCAAAACATCTATATGAGAGAGACACATTGATTGGTTGCCTCCCTAATGACCCTGACTGGGGCCAGGGATTGAACCTGCAACCCAGATACATGCCCTTGACTAGGAATTGAACCCCAGACCCTTTGGTCCTCAGGCTGACACTCTTAACTGCTGAGCCAAACCAGCCAGGGCAACATTTTATATTTTGTATGCTTTCCTAGATCAGAACTCTTTGAAAAGCTCCAAATTTAGTTAAAACTTAATGTCTGATGTTAATGCTCTAAATTGACCTCAGTATTAACAGTTATGCTAGCCTCAGAAATAGAAACTGCTTCTGTTAGTCTCTTTCCATCTGCCACCAACACCGTACCAAATTGCCTTAAGATATTGAATCTTGGCTACTCTATGGTATTGCCATCTTTACGTTAAATGGGCCTCTTTAGAAACAAAAGCATTTCCTGAAGTTTTTTTTTTTTTCTTGTATTTAATTATATACCCTCCTAATTATTTTCTACTTTGCAGTTCCAGCTCCTTTTTCCCTCTGTGATGGTTGTAGTAGAACAAATTAAAAGCCAAAAGGTGAGAACTATTCTTTTTCCTTTTGCTCTGGTAAGCACCAAGGAAATATTCTTAATTAATTTTGCCTTACATTCTTTTTTGAAGACCCTAGATTTTAGTGGTTTGTTTTTATTTATTTATTTAACAATATCTGCTGGGGTATTAGGCTAAGTATCAGGAATGCAAAAATAAATTGCAACCTTGTCCCTAAGTACTTCCTGGTCCAGAAGGTGGGGGAAATGTTAATAGATGTACCCAAGAATGCTGTTGGGTTAGAGAATAATGCTGTGGATATTTGGAGGTGAGAGCTTTTTGCACTAAGGATTTAGAACTGTTGGATATAGATCTTAGGAGAAGCTAAAAGTTAATTCTTAGAAAAAAAAGAAGGTAATAGTTTTATGTTAGGGTGTTGGCAGTTTTCTGAGAATTAAACTATTGGGTAAAGCCCAGATATTTATTAGTTAAATATGCCTATTCTTATCACAAGTTTTCATCTTATCACAACTTTTCAAATGCCTTGAAAAGTTAGGATTCCCAGTGACAGGAGAATATCTTTTCTGGGCAGCATTAATAATTCCGAGGAATAGCCCTGGCCGGTTTGGCTCAGCGGTTAGAGCATCGGCCAGCGGTCCAGAGAGACCCGGGTTCAGTTCCCGCTAGGGGCACGTACCTTGGTTGCAGCTTGTACCCGACCCTGGTTGGTCGTGCGGGTGGCAGCCACTCGATGTTTCCCTTTCACGTTGATGTTTCTCTCTCTCTCCACCTCTCTCTCCTTCCCACTCTATCTAGACAAAAAAAAGGAAAAATGTCCTCGGATGAGGATAAAAATATAATAATAATAATAATAATAATAATTCCGAGGAATAAATGCGTTGAGCTTTCACAATAGAAGAAATCTGCTGATCTTTTAATGGACCAAAAAGGACAAATGTATTAAACATGTTTATTTAGCTCATTCATGTTTTTAAGCTGTTATATTTGTTCCTTAGTTTATTACAAGTGCTCACCTTGATGAATATAACTAGTTAGCCAGTAATTTGCCCGGATGCTACTTTACTTTTTCAACTTGTAAGTGCAGAAATTTATACTCTGCTATATTCACTCTGCCAGCAAAGCCAATAGGGGAGGTGCTCTTTGGTCCTTCAAAGCTGATTGCCCTCATCATATAACATTGAACTCTAACTGTCACTTGCTGTAAACAGGCACTGTGCTAAGTGCTTCATATACATTATAACATTCAATCCTCTGGGATTGCATAGGTTAAGGAGGTGCCTGGGGTCACACAGATGGTATATAAACCCAGGTCTGTCTGCCTCTAAAGACTGTGACCTTCAGCACTCTACTAATCTATCTCCCAAAATTGGAGGGCAGCTTCTTGGTGAGTGAATTTAGTGTAAGGATTCCATGCCTAGCTGCACATCTCAGTTGACTTTCAGCTTCCATTGGCCACAGGAAGGAAAGTGGAAGATGAGTAGAGCGATTGCAGGTGGGCCAACCTTCCTTCCTGCCAGGGCAGGTGGTAGAGAAGCTAGTGCGCTATGGCTCCAGAGAGTGAAAAACCAAGGTGAGACGGGGTGATTGCAGATAGGCAAAGGAATCCCTTAAGAGTGATGGAAATGTTATGAAAGTGGATTATGGTTATTGGTTGCACAGGGCGGTAAATTTACTAAAAATTGTTGAATAGTACACTTAAAATATGTTATGTAAATTATACATCAACAAAGCAGTTTTTTTGTTTTTTTTTTAAAAAAGAGAAAGCCAGAGGACATAGAAAGAGGAAGATTTTTAGAAAAGCATGTACCTTATAAGTAGTGTGAATTAGGCTTTAATCTGAAAGAAAGATTTCTTTACCTCTTTACTTGGAATTTCAACTCTTTCTGGTTTCTCTAATGCAGTAGTTCTCAAACTTCATTGCATATTAGAATTATCTGGAGCAGATTGTTAAAACTATGTTGCTGGGCCCTCTCCCAGAGAGTTTGATTCAGGAGGCCTGGAGTGGGGCCCAAGAATTTGCATTTCTTATAAGTTCCTAGGCCATGCCGCTGCTGCTGGAGGTGGGTGAATGAATGGGGTAGGGAGGCTGTAGAGTCCACACTTTGATATTGAGTCCAACTATTGTGATATTGTGACTTAAATATATATTTGGCCTTGGCTGATTTTGCTCAGCGGTTAGAGCATCAGCCCACGGACCAGAGAGTCCCGGGTTCGGTTTCCGCTAAGGGAACGTACCTCGGTTGCAGTTTGTCCCAGGCCCCAGTTGGGGTTGTGTGGGTGGCAACCAGTTGATGTGTCTCTCTCACATCGATGTTTCTTTCTCTCTTCCTTCCTCTCTCCTTCCCTCTCTATCTGAAGATAAATGCAAAAAATGTCCTTGGGTGAGGATAAAAAAAAAAAAAGAAATATATATTTGGTCTTCATCTTGTTTCTGGCACAGAGCTCCTAAAACCCTTGGAATTTTTCCCTGGCTGGTTTGGCTCAGTGGTGAGAGCGTCAACCTGTGGTCCAGAGAGACCCGGGTTCGGTTCCCGCTACGGGCACGTACCTTGGTTGCGGTTTGTCCCCGGCCCTGGTTGGGTTGTGCGGGTGGCAACCACTTGATGTGTCCCTTTTACATTGATGTTTCTGTCTCTCACTCTTCCTCTGTCTCCCTCCCGCTCTATCTGAACAAAAAATGGAAAAAAAATGTCCTCAGGTGAGGAAAAAAAAGAACCCTTGGAATTTCCTAAGTGATAAGGGTGTCTTGACATTCATAAGAAACTTCTATCAACCACACCTGAGTTGTTAATGAGGTGACTTTTGGACAGCAGTTAAGGATAGGGGCTGGTTGCCAGAGGAACCAGCGATGTCATTGGAGGGTTGGAATTTTCAGTCCCACCCCCAACCTCTGGGGAGGAAAGGGGCTGAAAATTGAGTTCAAGCACCTGTGCCCAGTGATTTACTCAACCATGCCTATTGAATGAAGCCTTCATAAAAACCCAAAAGGACAGGGTTCAGAGACCTTCCAGGTTGGTGAACCAGTTATTCTATATGTCACCATGCAGGACTGAAACTCCCTGGGGACAGAATCTCCTTTGTTTTATACCTCATCCTATGTATCTTCATATGGCTGTTGATTCATATCCTTTGATATCCTTGGTAAATAAAAATAAAACAACAACAACAACAACACTGTAATCTAGTGAGTAACCAGATTTCCTCACCTCTGTGAGCCACTCTAACAAATTAATCAAACCCAAGGAGGGGGTCATGGGAACCTCCTATTATAATGAGTTAGAAGCACAGCAACAACCTAGACTTGAAATTGGCATCTGAAATGGAGGATGGTCTTGTGAGACTGTGGAATCTGATGCTAGAGCAGGGTAGAGTCAGAATTAAGTAAAAATGTACAGCACCCCAGCTAGTGTCTGAGAATTGCTTGATGGTGGTGGGAAAACCCCACACACATTGGAATTGTGGTCAGAACAAAACTACACCTAGATCTTATGAGAAAGTTTATCCCCATTCTCTGCGGGATTGTGCCCTCTGGATTGAACATAGAATATGAGTTTGTGCTACATGAACTATTGAAATGGAATCCACTTTGAAAAGGCTGTATTTTTCACAGATTCACGGTTGTCAGATCCTGGAAACGGTATACAAACACAGCTGTGGAGGTTTGCCTCCTGTTCGAAGTGCTCTAGAAAAGTAAGTCCTGGCCCAATTGGGAATAGTGGACAGGGGTGGGTTGGTCAAGTGACTTGACTGCACATGTTTTATTTTCAGGTCATCTCAGGTTTCACTCTGGGGAAATGTATGGCCAGGATAGAAAAGACCCATGAACAGAGGAGCCCCTGTAATCCTTATGAAGACTCAGAAATTGCAAAAATAGGGTTATAAAGTGTTGAGTATCAAAGATAGGAGCTAGTTGCCTAGATGCCCTTGAGACAACCCTTTTTTAATTTTTGGATCTCATCATCCTGGGAGCACCTCCATTACGTGTGCCAGATAATGCCTAGCTGTGTCTAAACTTGTGTATTTTGAATAGCTGGAATTTTCACATCAAGATCCTTAAAAATGTTCATGCCTTATAATCCCATAATGACACTCAGGAATTTTATCAAAAGAAAATAACCATATGCACAAACATTATTCATTGCAATATTGAGTACTATATCAAGAAACTAGAAAATTACCAGTAGCAGAAGGAAGCTAAATAAAGATACATTCACTTGATAGACTACAACAATGTATAAAAATATTTTTATAATACTAACTAAAAAAAAGGATGCAAAATTATGTCTTACGATTACAACTATATTAAATGTAAGTGGAGTTTCATCAAAGACTGCTCATTTGATCTTCCTATTCCCTTCTTCCTCCTCATTTTTTAAAAAGAGGGTGTGGGGGAAAAGAGAGGGTGTTACCTTGATTGCAAAATTGGAATCAATGATCTCTGAGGCCCCTCACAACTCTTAACAATCTCCACTTTAACAACCACTGCAAACGTGAGTGCTCAGAAGAGCAGGAAATTTTCTAGAATATGCTTGAGGGACTTAATTCTCTATTACTGTGCTTTTTTTCCCTAATAAAAGAAGTAAATTTTGATTGTAGAGAACACATATACAAAGAAGAAATAGAAATCACCTGTAATCACAGTCCCTTGAGATACCCAATTCAACTCTTGGTGTATATCCTCTATAGTTTTTTTGTATATAAACATACTATATTGTTTCATGCATCAAATATAAAATCTTACATAGATAATATGATGTATACATGTTATATATTTTCAGGGAATTTTACAGACCACATAGTGTGATTTGCAAAATTTAAATGCCTTTCCATTTAATTTTTTAAAGAGCGATTCCATTCAGTTAGCATACTACAATTAGCAGACTTAGTCTCTCTCTCTCTTTTTTTTTTTTCTTTATTGATTTTAGAGAAAGAGGAAGGGAGAGATAGAAAGAGATGGAAACAAAGATGAGAGAGAACTTTGATTGGCTGCCTCCTGCATGCCCCCCACTGGGGATTTGGCCTACAGTGTGGGCATGTATTCTGACCAGAAATCGAAGTGGCGAACTCTTGGTGCATGGGTCAACCCTCAACCACTGAGCCACACTGGCTGGGCCAGACTCAGTCTCTTTTAGTTTTTCTTCCCAAGTTATTTTGAAAATTTTCAAATCTACAAAAATGTTTAAAGAATTACAATAAACACTTCAGTTTCACCAGTTAACATTTTGCCACATTTGACTTATCTTTTTCTTTCTCCCTCTATATAAATTGAAATATGTGTAGACACATGCATGCATACCACAATTTTTTGCTGAGTGATTTGAAAGTGGTCACAGATATCATAACAGTTACACCCTAAATATATCAGCTTCTATCCCTTTAAAAAGGGGCATTCTCTTATATAACCTCAATACCATATTATACCCAAGAAAGTTAACCTTAATTCAACAATATGGTATCCAAATATATCTGAATTTCCTCAGTTGCCCTCCAAAAGTTCTTTATAGCAATCAGGATCCAGTTAGTGTTCAAATGTTGCATTTGGTTGTCATGTCTTTTTAGTCTCCTTTAATTTGGAATCGTCTTCTTTGCCTTTTTTTTTCTTCACCAGTTGTCTTAAAGAATATTCCACAATCTAGATTTTTCTGATTATGTCCTCATGATTAGATTTGGGTTAAACTTTTTTTTTTTTGCAGTAATACTACATGGTTCATATTACTTCCTGTTGCATCATATCAGAAGGCACAGAAAGTAAATTTGTCCCATTACTGGTGTAAAGTTTGATCGCTTGGTTTAAGTGTTTTCTACCATATCTGTCTATTTTAGACAGATTTTGACGTTTAGACGTTTTTCCCTATGTAATTAATATGTTATCTGGTGGTGATCCTTTGAGACCATGTGAATATCCCATTCTCCAACATTCTTTCTACATTTTGTTTTAGTGTCTGCATTTTGTTGGATCATACTTTTTCAGGTATACCTGCCTGTTCGGTATTAATCTACTCTCCTTCTGTGATTTCAACAGAAATAAAACAAATTTAATACTATGTTAGCCAAAGGGAGACTCCTATAAGTACACTTAATTTTAACAGGAATATCAGTATTAAAACTTACTTTACACAAAAGGAGGAAAGAAAATGTGCTCCTCCTGAAAGACTATCTGAACATTTACTGAACGTTTCAGACTTTAGTATGTAGGCTACAAGTTTGGAAATGTAATCAGTTAGTCCAGCCACAAACATTTAAATTAAAATACCACAATTATTTTTAGCTTAGTTGGTCATTTCCCTTCTGACTCATCAATCTCTCAGGCCTCTGTTTATCCTGTAGCAGTTTAAAGCACGCCCTCTGTGCCATTGTGGGGCTTAGTGTTCTATAAGTGGACTACTAAGGCTCTTGCTTTTCTCCCAACTCAGAATCCTGGCCGTGTGTCATGGGGTCATGTATAAGCAGCTCTCAGCCTGGATGCTACATGGACTCCTCTTGGACCAGCATGAAGAGTTCTTTATCAAACAGGGTCCATCTTCTGGTAATGTCAGTGCCCAGCCAGAAGAGGATGAGGAGGATCTGGGTATTGGGGGACTGACAGGAAAACAACTGAGAGAACTCCAGGACTTGGTGAGAGCATAGCAAGAAGCCCAGCATACTCCTGCCAGGAATCAGAAAAGACTACAGCTAAATGACCTTTTGGTGATCTTCTTTCCCAGCTCCAAGTTCATCATAGCCTGGGCACCTTCCATAAATTCTTTAGATATAGACACTTGTCTTTATCTTAGCTTAATACTTAACTTAAACTTAATACCTAACTTAATGTGAGAGTACAAAACAGAAAATACATTTGTGAGTTTCCTTTTGTTTCCCCTTTTCCCAGGATGTGCTTTTAAGAGGTTAATAATAAGTCTTGTCTCTTAAGGTAGTCTTTTAGCTACCTTGTAGAATTTACATGCAGTTTGGAGTTTTGATTATACTCCCCAGAGTCTTCTCTTGTCTTTATTCATCTATCCATTCATTTATCCTGTTCCAACATTTTATTAAATGCCTGTTATGTGCCAGACACTGTTCTAGGTGCCACAACTACATAGACAAATAATGTGTCGTAGCCCCTGTCCTTAAAGAGCTTATAGTTGAGTGGAAGATATAAGTAAACAGTAACTTGACAGTGTAGTAAGTGCTCTGGAAAGAGTCAGTACGGGTGTTCTCAGAACATCGTCTTAGAGTAAGTAGAAAATGCTTTTGAGTGGATTATATGGCTAAATTGCAGAGTTTGGGAGGAGAGGTTAAGAAATGTTCCAGGCATGTGTGTAAATGTTCCAGGGAAGGATATGTGTAAAGTACAGAGCCCATGAATGACATGGCTCATTTGGGAAACCATTGGTAATTCAATTGAAATGGTCAAGTAAAGACTGAAACTTCATATAAGGGACAGTGGAGGTGATGGGGCAAGTGGCAATCAGTGCAGCTGTTAAGCAGAGGGAAGACCATGGAAGGCCTTGTGTACAGTGGGAAGGAGTTTGGGCTCGAACCTGAAAAGAGTTGGGAGCCAGTGAAGAATTTTAGGCAAGAGGTTAACACAATTGGACTTTATGATGGATCACTCTGGATACTGTGTGGGGAATGTTTTTTTTTAAATCAAGATTTGCTGTAGGTTGGTCAGTTAGAAGAATGCTGGGACACTTAGGTGAAAAATAATAATGGCTTAAATCAAGGGTGTTAACAGTAAATATGGAGAAGAATAAGGAGGCTTGTGAGAGATTTAGGAAGAGGAATATATATGCCTTGGCAATTGATTGGATATGGGTTCAGAAGGAAGAATACACATTAACAGGCATTTGATAAAATGTTGGAACAGGATAAATGAATGGATAGATGGATGGATGGATGACCAAGGACAATAGAGGATTCAGGGGAGTCTAATCAAAACTCCAAATTTTGTTTAAATACTACAGGGTAACTACAAGACTACCTTAAGAGACAAGACTTATTATTAACCTCTTAAAAGCATATCCTGCCTGCTGGTGTGTCTCACTGGTTGAGCATTGACCCATGCACAAAAGAGGTTGCTGGTTCTATTCCTGGTCAGGGCACATGCCCAGGTTGTGGGCCCAATTCCCAGTGGGGGGCATGCAGAGGTAGCCAATCCATGTTCTCTCTCATTGATGTTTCTCTCTCTCTCTCTCTCTCCCCACCCCTTCTTCTCTCTCTCAAATCAATAAAGAAAAAAAAAAGTGCCTGGCCAGTATGGCTCAGTGGTTGAGCGTCGATCCCTGTACCAATAGATCGCTGATTCTGTTCCCAGTCAGGGCACATGCCCAGGTTGTAGGCCAAACCCCCAGTGGGGGGCATGCAGGAAGCAGCCAATCGATGTTCTCTCTCATTGATGTTTCTATCTCATTTCTCCCTCTCCCTTCCTCTCTCTTGAAAATCAATAAAGAAAAATTTTTAATATTAAGAATTCTTTTTTGAAAAAAAACATATTCTGGGAAAAGGGGAAACAAAAGGAAACTCACAAATTATTTTCTGTTTTGTAGTCTCACATTAAGTTAGTTATTTTTTTTTTTTTTTTTATCCTCACCCGAGGACATTTTTCCATTTTTTGTTCAGGTAGAGTGGGAGGGAGAGAGAGGAACAGAGAGAGAGAGAAACATCGATGTGAAAGGGACACATCGAGTGGCTGCCACCCGCACGACCGACCAGGGCCGGGACAAACTGCAACCGAGGTACGTGCCCTTAGCGGGAACCGAACCCGGGTCTCTCAGGACCGCAGGCCGACGCTCTAACCGCTGAGCCAAACCGGCCAGGGCTTAAGTTAGTTATTAAGTGTCAGCCTTCAGCGTCTGGGCAAGTAGTGATGATAAGAACTGTGTATTGTTGGTATTGGAGGAAAGAAAATGGACATACTGAGTTTGAGGTATTTGTAGGAAATGTCCAGTAGGCTGAGGCTGGAGCTCATGAGAGTAATCTAGCTTCAAGGTAAAGATTTAGGAGTAGGAGTCATCGGCGTTAGAAGTTGTAATCTGGGGTCCATGTGGAACTTCAGGTGGTTCTGTGAAATGTGTGTTTATATATTTGTCTGGAAGCTTTTCTAATTGTAGAGAGTCCTGTGATGTTAAAGGACTTAAAATATATATTATGGTGAAAAACTCAGCCGCAGAAGATGTGATTTTCAATGAAGAGGGTGGAGAGCGAACGGAAAAGGGTCTGGAACAGTGCCTGGAGGAACACCGGCACCGAAGCCCAAAACAGAGAAGGCAAATAGCAGAGATCAAAGTCAGATCAAGTCTGGGAACTAGATAAGGGTCAAATCAAAAGCAAGTCAGGGAATGGGGGTGCTGATTAATTGGGTAGCGGGTATCTGGGGTTTTCAGGGCTAGATCAGTGAGTGGTTCTCAAATTTCACTGTGCATCAGAATCCCTTGGACAGCTTGTTAAAACACAGGTTGCTGGGCCTCATCACCTGGATTTTCCATTGATCTGGGAAGGTGCTTAAAAATTTGCATTTCTAGCCCTAGCCGGTTTGGCTCAGTGGGAGAGTGTCAGTTCACGGACCAGTGAGTTGCAGGTTCGATTCCAGCCAAGGGCATTTTCCTTGGTTACAGTTCGTCCCTGGCCCTGGTGAAGGTCGTGCAGGAGGCAACCAATCGATGTGTCCTTTTCACGTCGATGTTTCTCTCTCTCTCTCTCCCTCCCACTCTATCTGAAGATAAAGAGAAAAATATCCTTGGCTGGGGATTAAAAAAAATAGAAAGGAAAATTTGTATTTCTAACAAGCTCCCATGTGAGTGAAGCTGCTGCTGCTGCTCCAAGACCCACACTTTGAGAACCACTCGGCTAAATGATTTGGGGCTGGTGTAAAGAGTTGGGTAGAGTGGACGCATATGCAAAATAATATAATCATAGACGTGTAGACTTGGAAAAAGTAAAGATCAATTATCCCATGGTACAAGTATGGAAACTGAGTTCCAGATCTACTTCACAAGTAGTAAGGGCAGAACAAAGACAAAAACCCTAATGTTAAAAGAACACTTATTTCCACCATGTTCTCCTGCTGCCTAAAAGTGGAATGCATCTCTCTAACACTAGGTGCAACTTCAGATTTAAAGTACCTGCTCTAGAAAATATAAATCACGGGATGGGATATTTTTTTGTTTTTCTTCATACATCATCTCTGATATGGATTATTGCCTTGACCAGCGCCTGATAGAGGAAGAGAACATGCTGGCACCATCTCTAAAGCAATTTTCTCTGCGAGTGGAGATTTTGCCATCCTACATCCCAGTGAGGGTGGCTGAAAAAATCCTGTTTGTTGGAGAATCTGTCCAGATGTTTGAGAATCAAAATGTCAACCTGACTAGAAAAGGTAGGAATCTCCTTGCACAATGTACCCCATCCTCAAAGGCCCTTCTTGATATTGCATGACCCCAGAGTACACCTGGTCAGAGTGAGTGGCTAGTAATGTTTATGAGCTGACATTTCAGCAGAACTATGACAAGCTTGCCCAAGAAACAGGTAAAAGAGCTGCATCAGCAGGGTGGGGAATCCTTGCCCCTCCTGGTTGTCCTGACTGTCTTCATCTGATGGTGCTTTTCGATTTTGCAGGATCCATTTTGAAAAACCAAGAGGACACTTATGCTGCTGAGCTGCATCGTCTCAAGCAGCAGCCTCTCTTCAGCCTGGTGGACTTTGAGCAGGTGGTGGATCGTATTCGGAGCACTGTGGCTGAGGTTTGTTTTTTGGAGTATATTTTCTTAGGAAGAAAGTGGACTGATTTCCCCAGAAATTGACTACTTGACTTTTATTTCTTCCTAATGTGGTAAGACCTTAGTTTGGAGGGAATTGTTTGAGAGTTGAAGGGCAAAAAGTAGGAAATGAAAGCATTCTCTCTGTTCTTAATTGTAGAGTCCTGGCCAGTAAGGCCCAGCAGTTAAAGCATTGGTCCTTGGACCAAAGGATCACAGGTTCAATTTTCAATCAAGGGCATTTACTTGAGTTGCAAATTCAATCCCCAGCCCTGGTTGGGGTCCTTCGGGAAGCAACCAATCAATGATGTTTCTCCCTCTCTTTCTTCCTTCCTGCCTCTCACTCTATCTTGAAAAAAAATCAATGGAAAAATATCCTTGGGTGAGGATTAACAACAACAAAAAAAAGTAGAGGCAGAACTACCTTAGCCTTTTCACACCTGACAGGAGTTTGCTAGTTAGTTAATTAGCCAGTTGAATAAAGGGAGGGCTTGGTCTCATTTCAGTCAGTCAGCATTTTGAGTCAGTTTATATACAGTAGTTGGAAATAGCTCCAAGGAATTGATGGGATTCTGACTAAATTTAGTGCCTTATGTTTTTGAATGGCTTTATTATTCTGTCATTTGTGGCCCTGGCCGGTTTGGCTCAGCGGTTAGAGTGTCCACCAGCGGTCCTGAGAGACCCGGGTTCGGTTCCCGCTAAGGGCATGTACCTCGGTTGCAGTTTGTCCCCAGCCCTGGTCTGTTGTGCGGGCGGCAGCCACTCGATGTGTTCCTTTCACATCGATGTATCTCTCTCTCTCCCTCCCACTCCACCTGAACAAAAAATGGAAAAATGTCCTCGGGTGAGGATAAAAAAAAAAACAGATAAAAGAAAATTTTTTAAAAATATTCTGTCATTTGTGGGTATGATACTCCTGAGGAAGGCGGAACAAGTATAATTTTTTCATTCCTATAAATGAAAAAAATACTCAGCTAAGTTGTCTGGTGTTGCACAGTAAGTAACAAAGATGAAGTCAGAAACTGGTCTTCTGACCCCTACCTAGTTCAGTGGTCTTATGTGAATTGTGCTTCATCCATGAATTGGCACATAAGTTTATCAAGTTAAATATATTATCTCTCCTTCTAGTTTATTATGAGATTTTTATCATAAATAGATGTTGAACTTTATCAGTTGCCTCTTCTATATCAATTAGGTACAGTTTCTGTGGGTTCTTTTTGTCCTTTAGTCTTTTCATATGTTAAATTGCTGGTTGAATGTTCATATATTGAATCTTTCTGAGATAAACTACATCGAATGGGATGTTTTATATTTTAATATACTATTGGATTTGGTTACCCAGTACAATTTGGAATTTTCACTTCTGTATTTACTATTATTATTTTATGTGATTGTAGAATAAAGATTATATAGACTTCATAAAATGAGATATCACTTTTTCTTTTTCTTTTTTTAAGAACAATTAATATAAGAGAGGAATTGTTACTGAAAGTTTGAACTTACCTGAAAATTTATCTAACCCAGGTGTTTTTAGGAGGGGAACTCTTTACCAACTCACTGTATTTAAAACCTATTAATTTATTCAAGACATTTATTTCTTCTTGTACCAGTTTTGGTACTTTCTACTTTTCTAGGAACTTACACATTTCATCTAGATTAATTTTTAAAAATCTTTGCTTGTCTATAGCTATTTTATTTCAATCTTCTTTTTTATTGCTTAGTCTTATTAATCTTTTCAAAGAACCAGCTTTTCTTTAATCTTCTTTATTTTTTTTATTTCATTGATATCTGCCTTTATCTTTATTGTTTTTTGTTCTTGTTTCTTTGAGTTTTCTCTGTTACTCTCGTCTATTTTTAATCTTTGTTTCCTAAGAAATATATATAAAACTTAAATGTTGCTTTGACTTTGTCCCACAAGTTTTTGGCCCGTGTTGTATTTTCATTATCATTCTGTTCTAAATAATTTTAATTTTCTTTTTAAAACAAGGGATTTAAGCTCTGGTCAGTTTGGCTCAGTGGTTAGAGCATTGGCCCGCGGACCTGAGAGTCCCAGGTTTGGTTCCCGCTAAGGGCACGTACCTCGGTTGCGGTTTGTCCCTGGCACCAGTTGGGGCCGTGTGGGTGGCAGCCAGTCAATGTGTCTCTCTCACATCGATGTTTCTCTCTCTCTCTCTTCTTCCCTCTCTCCCTCCTGCTCTATCTGAAGATAAATGCAAAAATGTCCTGGGTGAGGATAAAAAAATATAAAAAAATAAAACTTAATAAATCCCTTGTATTTTTTTTTTTTTTTTATCCTTACCCGAGGAAATTTTTCCATTTTTTGTTCAGGTAGAGTGGGAGGGAGGGAGGGAGAGAGAGAGAGAGAGAGAGAGAGAGAGAGAGAGAGAGAGAGAGAAACATCGATGTGAAAGGGACACATCGAGTGGCTGCCACTCACACAACCAACCAGGGCCAGGGACAAACTGCAACCAAGGTACATGCCCTTAGCGGGAACCAAACCCGGGTCTCTCTGGACCGCAGGCTGATGCTCTAACCGCTGAGCCAAACTAGCCAGGGCTTAAGTTTTATTTTTATTACATTATAGTTGGAGAATATAGTCTGTGTTATAGATCAGATTTCCCAGGAAACAGATTCTGAGACTGAAATTTGGTAGCAAGAAGTGAGGGAAGCAGGATTAAGCAGAGAGAGAAGGTAAACTGTGATGTAATTGTAACAGAAGGCTTGGCTAATCCTATGCAGTTCTGAAGCTAGAATGGCTCATCAGAGAGGTCCTCAGTTGAGAGGTTCAAGGGCTATGCCACCAGAAATTGAACTGGGCTCTACTCAGGGAGGGGAACCTTGGGTGAGGAAGCTCTCTTTAGCCAAAGGCAATTCTGGAGGGCCAACAACAGGCAATACTCCCAGCAGCTGGGGTATTGGATATCTCAGTCTTACAGGGGAGAATCCACTCCATCTGTTCTGAAAGTCCTGCTTCAGGTTGTTTGTGTTATCTCCTGTTCTATTTCATTTACTCCTCACGCACCTAGTTATTTTGACCTGTGTGCTTATATTCCCCAGGAGATGTCAGCTACTTTGTCTAGAAATTTGTTATTAGAGAAGGGCCAAAGGCCAGTCCTTAATCTATGTCAGTTCTAGTGAGGAGGGGATGAGTGCCAGGGTGGAGATTCAGGACAAACTGTGTCAATGGTGATCACTTCATTGAACAAATCCTTGCCATGATTTCACCTGTGGTACTGGTAATGGTTATGGTTTATTTTTGTATATTAATCCTTTAATAATCTGTATATCAGTTCTCTTGGACTTTCTATGCAGATTATATCATCTGTTAATAATAATAGTTCTATTTCTTTCCAGTTACATATTTTCTTATCTTACTGCATTGGCAAAGTCTAGTACAATTTTGAATGACTTTAAAGGAATTTCCTACAATGTTTCACCATGAAATAAGTTGTTTTCTATGGGTTTTTTGGCATATACCCTTTCTAAGAATAAGTTTCTTTCTCTTTCTTGTTTGTTTTTCTAAAATCATGAATGGATATCAACTTTTATCAAATGCTTTTTCTGCATCTATTGAAGTGATCCTATGTTGTTGTTTTTTTATCTTTAACATATTAATTACATTCATATTTAAGTTTTGAGATAAAATTCACATGATACTATTTGAGCCATTTAAAAGTAGTATATAATTCACTGGTTTCTAGTGTATTCACAATGTTGTGTAATCATCACCACTATTTAATTTCAGAACATTTCCATCTCATATATATTGTTTTTCTGTTAAACTACCCTTTCATTCCTGGGTTTAACCCAACTTGATCATGGTTTATATTCTTTTTTCAACATTGCTGGATTTGTACAAAACCATTTTTTTACAGAAGTTTGCATTCATGAAATTTTGTCTGTTTTTTTTTTTAAATCTTATTTTTTTATTTTATTTTTTATTTTATTTGTTACAGATGTTTCTCCTTTTTTACCCCATTGACATCCTCTTCCCCATCCCCCTACCCCGTCCCCAGCTTTGTTTTGTCCATGTTCATTGGTTATACGTACATGCATATAAGTTCTGTGGTTTATCTCTTCCCTCCCCGCTCTACCCCCTCTTCTGAGGGTTGTCAGTCTGTACCCTACTTCCATTTTTCTGGGTCTGCCCTATTCCTCAGACTGTTATGTTCATTATATTCCACAAATAAGTGAGATCATGTGGTATTTGTCTTTTTCTGCTTGGCTTATTTCACTTAGGATAATACTTTTCATGTCCCTCCATGAATTTTGTCTTTTATTGGTTCTTTCACAGCATCTCTGGAAACTGATGGTGGAAGAGTCAGATTTACTGGGTCAGCTGAAGGTAATAGCTTAGCTGTTCTATTCACTCATAAATTGATGCTGGTGGGCACAGTCTTCATTCTCTAGCCTCTCCTGAGAGCATTGATTGCCTGTACCCAATTTGTAGATGGCCTGGTATGTCCTCAGCCAAGTGGCCAACTCTACCTAATACTACAAATGTACCACAGTATAAAACTTCAGGTGTTAACTTTCTTCTGGCATGATATAACTGTGTGTTTATTGAATAATGGTACCAAAGACACACCAGACATCCTGCCATGAGGGATTACTAAATATGCAGTTTTGAAATGCCAAAAGCCTATATCCTTTTGTAGGTTAGCTCAAACTGTGATTTGGAAATTATACGTGTAATTCCAGTAAGAGTGAGTTACTGATGGCCCTCCTAGATTACCAAATTGTAAATTCTTTCTGCAGATCATTAAAGACTTTTACCTTCTGGGACGTGGAGAACTGTTTCAGGCCTTCATTGACACAGCTCAACACATGTTAAAAACACCACCCACCGCAGTAACGGAACATGGTAATTGTCCTGTTCTGAAGTTTTAGGGTATTTCTTGGCTACTGAACCATTGAGGCCTGCTCCACATAAGAGCAGACAGGCGAGTTGCAAGGATGGAAGGTCTTTCAGGTAGGCTTCACACTAAGGTCACTGGGAGCAGCCTCTTGGCTTTGTGACCTTTCCTGGAAGAGTTGGTACAGGCCTTCAGACCAGGTATTTTATCTCATTGGATTAAGCCAAATATATTCTTTTTTCTTTTTTTGGTACGTGCCCCTAGCGGGAACTAAACCTGGGACTCTCTGGTCTGTAGGCCAGTGCTCCAACCACTGAGCAAAACCAGCCAGGGCCAAATATATTGTTTATATTGGAATTTATTGCCACTTATTGTATTAGAATTCTTTAAGTTGTGATGATGGATACCTAACCTGAACCAACCTAGGTAGAAAAGGGGAATGTATTTGCTATTGTATTTATAACTCCAGGGGGCTGAGGTATAGCTGGACCTCAGAACAATGGAAGCTAGGGTCTTGAATTCTGCTAGGATTCTCTCTGTCTTTCCATTATCTTCTCTGTGCCCCTTGTACATCCTTTGATGGCCTGACATTCCCATCTGGAAACATGGCCACTAGCAGCTCCTAGGAACATGCCTCATAGTGTCTACTGGAGGAGCCAAACCTGGTCTCTCTGGTAGCAGATTTAAAAATTCTGAGGAAAGGATTTTGATTAGCCCAGCCCAGATCACCTACCTATATCCCTGTATAAAGAGGTCACACATTAAGATGTGCCTGCTTCAGTAAAGTACTTAACCCTTGACCAATGGGAATAACCAATATTCCCATTCAAACTATGTGACAGAAGTTGAGTGAGGATCAAAGTTAAGAAAGAAAGAGAAAGAGAGAAGGAAAAGAACAGGAAGGGAAGGGGAGGGAATGGGGGGGGGTGGAGTTATTATTATTCTAGCTCTATAAAACGGTAGATGTCCACTATACTTACGTAGGATTTTTTTGGTTGCAAATATCAGAAAACCCAATTCAAACTCAAAGGGGAAAAATTATTTATTGATTCTTATAATTGTAAAAGTCAGAGGTATGATGGTTTTAGCCAGAGTTTGATCTAATGGCTCACATGACACTTTCAGGACTTGGTGTCATTCCATCTTTACCTCTTTCTTCTCAGACAGGTCTGTTCCATGTGGTGGCAGGATGGCCTCCAATGAAGCTCACGTGCCACTAAGTCCCTGTTTAACACACACACACACACACACACACACACACACACAGCTGTACTCTTTCAGAGTCTGAATAAAGCCTCTTAATTGGCCTGGCTTGGATCATATTCATACCCCTAAACAAAATAGTGTATCAAAGTAGAATATTCCATGATGATGCCTGAGTCGCTGCTGATCCCTAGGATCAGGTATTGTCAGCCCTCTGGAACTACATGGATTGCACTGCACAGGGGTGATCCTTCAAGGAAAATCAGGATGCTGTTATAAGCAAGAGGAGGAGGAATACATGTTAGTCCGGCAAAAGCAAAAGCAAAAGCAACAGACGTCTATTGCATCCTGTTATTCGTGTTAGGCAGGCTGGGGAGAGGTGGAAAGCTGGAGGAATCTGGGTTTGTTATGTAGCCAAGCATTCTTATCAGCTCATGTGTTCTTTCTTGCAGATGTGAATGTGGCCTTCCAACAGTCCGCACACAAGGTGTTGCTAGATGATGACAACCTTCTCCCTCTGTTGCACTTGACAATAGAGTACCATGGAAAGGAGCATAAAGGTTTGCCATTCTTCGTTACATCTTTCTGCTCCTACTGGTCATCATCTGTTTTCCTACCTCTGCTTCCATCCACCTCCACAGAAACCATATCATTTTGGACCTTAGAAACCACCTAATCCAAATTTCTACAGGAGAAAAGGGAAGAAGTCTACAGAGGCTGAGATGCCAGGGCCATGATTTCTGCTTTTGTCATGCTACTAGAATTATCTCTATTTCAAGCCACCAGACTTTAGGGCTAAACAATGAATCTCTATTTTTTTTTTTTTTTTTTTTATCTTCACCCGAGGACATTTTTCCATTTTTTTGTTCAGGTAGAGTGGGAGGGAGAGAGAGGAACAGAGAGAGAGAGAGAGAAACATCGATGTGAAAGGGACACATCGAGTGGCTGCCACCCGCACAACCAACCAGGGCCGGGGACAAACTGCAACCGAGGTACGCGCCCTTAGCGGGAACCGAACCCGGGTCTCTCCGGACCGCAGGCCGACGCTCTAACCGCTGAGCCAAACCGGCCAGGGCTAAACAATGAATCTCTAAAAGACCTCCTAAGAGAACTTCACACAGATGTTTCCTTGCCTTTGCATGTCCCCTTTGTGTCTCCTTCATGCTTCCGACACTGCAGGCTGAGTGAGCGCGCATTTGTGAATGCTATTCACCTGTTGAAGCTCTGGTTCTAGATCAGCGAAATCTTATCTAGACCTCCTCCCTTCTCCTCTTGACAGATGCTACTCAGGCCAGAGAAGGGCCTCCTCGGGAAACTTCTCCTCGGGAAGCCCCTGCATCAGGCTGGGCAGCCCTAGGTCTTTCCTACAAAGTACAGTGGCCACTGCACATTCTCTTCACTCCTGCTGTCCTGGAAAAGTGAGTATTTCTGAGTTTCTCACAGGTAAATAATACCCACCTTACTTCCAAGGGATGAAAGCAGGAATACAATCATTGGGAGAACAATAGCCACCCAGATAGTTTTTAACAGCTTGTAAATCAAGAGGTTTCAAACTCAAATGCCTTCAGGGGCTGGACAGGAAATATTCGTAAGTGAAGCCACAGACTTGAGACTGTAAGGAGTGTTGAATGAATGGGAGGGTCAAACCCTTAAAACCATGAGAGGTCCATTTGTTTTGTTATTTTTTCAGTCCTCATCTGAGGACATTTTTCCATTTGTTTTCAGACAGAGTGAGAGGGGGGAAGAGAAAGAGAGAGAAACATCAAATGGTTGCCTCCTGCACGACCCCAACCAGGGCCAGAGACGAACCGCCACCGAGGTACGTGCCCTTGACCCGAATCGAACCCGCGACTCTTTGGTCCGCGAGCCAACACTCTAACCACTGAGCAACCTGCCAGGGCTGTTTCGTTTCTTTTTTTTTCTTTTTTCTTTTTCCTTTATTGATTTTACAGAGAGAGGAATTGAGAGGGAGAGAGAGAGAGAAACAATGATGAAAGAGAACATCGATGAGAGAGAACATCAATTGGCCGCCTCCTGCATGCCCCCCACTGGGGATCAGGCCCACAACCTGGGCATGCGTCCTGACTGGGAATCAAACTGGCGACCTCTCGGTGCATAGGTCAATGCTCTACCACTGAGCCACACCAGCCAGACTGTTTTGTTTTTTTTAATGGCAAAATAAGCAGTTTACAGGATGTGTTTGTGACCTGGAAGACATGCAGTCCCTGAACCACAAAGAGTCTGGCATTTGATAAGTCCATCAGACTGATGAGGTTCCTCCTTAACTTTTGTAATTTTATTATTTACTTGGGAATACTTTCCAAGCTCAAGCGTTTGCTGTGGACTTTATTCACTAGGAAGAACACCTCCTTATCCCCAGGGAGAGGCAATGGGAGCAACCAAGCTGGGCAAGGGATGGAATGAAGGAGTGTTACACCAAGGTGGTAAAACTCTTGGATCAGTTGAGGTCTTTACCCTGAGAGCCTGCTGAATGCTGTTGCTCGGCCCCATCAGGACCTAATGTCCCTAAACCAGAAGGAAACTAGAGCTCTAGAGAAAGGAAACAGGAAAAGCATACTTGGCTGGTGGTGGCCTCTGACATCCATCCCCAAGCCATTTCAGGAGTGTCCCAAATCCTATTACAGGTTCTGGCACTGGCCCTGGCCTGGCTGGAGGATAGAAGCCATCATGCTCAGCCTAGGGGAAGGGAGAAAAGGGAAACAAATGAATAAAAGGACCTCTCTTATTCCTCCCTCTTCCTTTTCACAACCCCCTTTACTTTTGGGGGTAGAGAAGCTTAGGGTATGAGAGATTAGGCATAAACTGGGGGAAAAAAATGCTTATTCAAGGGGAAGGTTCAGAGCCCACAGGCCACTCACTACCTCAACTTGATATGCTCTTACCACCCTTAAAGAAATCAAACTCAGAAGTATTTTTAAACTTTTTATTATGAAAATTTCCTATGGACTATAAATAACTCCCATGTACTCATTATCCATCTTCAGTAACCATCCACATTATGGAACATGATTTTTTGCTGGGGCCTATAAAGCAATACCAGACATGTCATTTCACTCTGTCACTATGCAATTCAAAAGGGCATATTTTAATTTTTTTTCTTTATTGATTTTAGAGAGGAAGGGAGAGGGAGAGAGAGATGGAAACATCGATGAGAGAGAACATCGATTAACTGCCTCCTGCATGCCCCCACTGGGGATCTGGCCCACAACCTGGGCACGTGCCCTGATCGGGAATCAAACCAGTGACCTCTTGGTGCATGGGTCAACACTCAACCACTAAGCCACACTGGCCACGCCAAGAAGGCATGTTTTTAAACACAACTACAATGCCATTATTATGCCCAATAAAATTAATAATTTCTTATTATCTGATATCCAGTCTACATTGAAATTTGCCCAATTATCTAAAAAATGATTTTTATGGTTGAGTTTATTCGAATCAGAATCTAAACAAGGTGTACTGTTTTCAGTATGTTGTTCCATTAGAAATTGGTAATTTTTAAAAACCAAATGGAGGAGGGAGGAATCAGTGGGGGAAAATGGAGAAACATCTGTAACAAAAATTAATTAATAAAAAGAAAAACCAAATGGAATCAGTTTGTCTTCTGCATGCCTACCTAGAATAAGTAAATATATGCAGTTCCACCAGGAATCAGCTGCTCTTCCCAAGTGTCTTCTCAGTACAGGCTCAGCATTAGGCGACTCGTCCCTGAGCCTGCTGCAAGGGGGTCTCTGTGAGAGGAGCCCTTGATTTTATTTTCCGTTTGGGCTTCAGGGACAGAGAATCAGATTAACAAATCCTTGGTTCCTAACATATTCTTATTATGGGTCTTTGCAAGACTCTCCCTCCTTCCTTCTTAAAACAACACTCCCCCCCCCCCCCCAATAAAACCACTTCCCAGCACAGAGCTAGAACACTGACAGTATGTCCTTCTACCTATGTGGTCCTTCCTGGGGGAAAGAGGCAGGCCCCCCTTGCCTCCCACATCCCAAAGCAACCACTATCCTAAATTCCATGTTTTCTATCATGTATATAGTTTTAAATATGTGTGTGTGTGTATACATACATATATATATTATTCCCCCAAAGTATACTTTTTTTTCTATTTAGTTGTTTTAAGCACTATAAAAGAGTATGAGACTGTATGTAATCTTTTTATATTTACCTTTTTTATTCAAAATATCACTGGAGTTATGTTGTTTTGTACAGCTGAAGTCCATTTGATGGCTATGTAGTAGTTCATCATATAAATAAACCAGTTTATTTGTCCCCAACTCTAGCCATTCTTATTTCCTTCCTCTCTTTTTGGGGAGGGGCAGATGGCACAAAGTGCCAGGGTCTGTCATGTAGATGGGGACAGGGAGTGAAATTTTCATCGGGCACAGCCTGCTGTTTCTGTCCCAGGTACAATGTTGTTTTCAAGTACTTACTGAGTGTGCGTCGGGTACAAGCCGAACTGCAGCACTGCTGGGCCCTACAGATGCAGCGCAAGCACCTCAAGTCCAACCAGACCGACGCAGTCAAGTGGCGCCTAAGAAATCACATGGCGTTCTTAGTGGATAACCTTCAGTACTACCTCCAGGTCTGTGCTGTCGGATGAGTAGGAGAAAGGAGTACGAAGAGAAGTCCAGGATGTTGGCAGGAGTTATTGAGGAGGGGCTGTAATCCCATATTTAGTGAAACATGGGGGTTTGAGAAAAATTCACAGATTATATCACTAGGCATGTTTCTTGGGAATATTTTTGAAGAAAGTGAAAATAAATGGAGAATGATAGGGTCCTTCAGCAGTGAAGTATTTAATTATTATTGACTTGACCCTTATTTTTCTAGTTTGCTATAACTTCTGGAATCCTATCAGATGAAACTAAGTCAGTGGGGGGATGTGGCATGAGGGATTGGGATGGGAAGAGTGGGGGGTGGGGAATCTGCCAAGACACTGGAGGCTCAGAAATTTAGGCAAATAACTTTCTACAAGGCCAGGTCTCTAAGGGTGTCTTTGGTCAGTCTTAAAGCGGCTGGGATAGGAGGAATGCGTGGGGGCAGGGAATGCCTGTGTCATCCTGTCAGGCATCTTAATGTCCCTGAGTGCTCCTCATGTGCAAGGTGCTAAAATTATTTGTGTAACTGTTTATCAGGTAGATGTGCTGGAATCTCAGTTTTCACAGCTGCTTCATCAAATCAATTCCACCCGAGACTTTGAAAGCATCCGACTGGCCCACGACCACTTCCTGAGCAATTTGCTGGCTCAGTCTTTTATCTTGTTGAAACCTGTAAGTAGGACTGGTTGGTTTCCTCAGACTGCTTCGAGCCTGACTGTTCCCTTAGCCACTTTGAGTTGCCTGGATATGGAACTATCATTAAGTAATTGTTCACTATTTAAAACATCTGAAACAACTTATAAAGCAAAATGAAAGGGAATGTTAAAAGGGAACTTAAATGTCTTTAAATCTCTGACATATATCATAGGACGTGGTGAGCAGCTATAGTTGAAAAAATCTGGGCTTAACCCTGAGAAGTATTTCAAGAAATTTTAGAAACCTGACACCACAGAAAGACCAATGAACAGCATATAGAATTTACTTTCCTAGAAATCTTTTGGATAAGGATCAACCAGTTGTTTGAAAGTAGTTTTCACAAACTGAAGCAGTGAGTGTCTCCGTGTGTGTGTGTGTGTTCATACACTTGTACATATGTACGTCTCCTTCAGGGAAGTTCTCAACTTTGGAGCCACATGGGAGTCATCTGGGAGCTTTAAAAAAACCAAGTGTCGCCCTGGCCAGTTTAGCTCAGCTGTTAGAGCTCGACCTGTGGTCTGGAGAGACCTAGGTTTGGTTCCCGCTAAGGGCACGTACTCGGTTGCAATTTGTCCCCGGCCCTGGTTGGGTCATGTGGGTGGCAACCACTCAATGTGTCGCTTTCACATTGATGTCTCTCTCTGTCTCCCTCCTTCCCACTCTATCTGAACAAAATATCGAAAAATGTCCTCAGGTGAGGATAAAAAATAAATAAACCAAGCGCCCAGAGCACTTAAATTAGAGTCCCTAGAATGGAACCCAGGTATCAGTATTTTTTTTTTTTTTAATCCTCACCCGAGGACACTTTTCCATTTTTTGTACAGATAGAGTGGGAGGGACAGAGAGGAAGGGAGAGAGAGAGAGAAACATCGATGTGAAGGGACACATCGAGTGGCCGCCACCCGCACGACCAACCAGGGCCGGGGACAAACTGCAACCGAAGTACGTGCCCTTAGCGGGAACCGAACCCAGGTCTCTCTGGACCGCAGGCCAACGCTCTAACTGCTGAGCCAAACCGGCCAGGGCAGGTATCAGTATTTTTTTAAAGCTTACAATCCGATTCCAATTCCAGGATAAAAACAAGAATATTGAAATGACCTCTTATAGTCCCTACTGTAACAGTAACCTTTTATCCCTGCTGCGAGCTAACTGTCACGCCCCCATTGTGCCAACCACAAGCGCTAGACTTCTCTTTTGTTCTGATATTTGAGGTTGTTAGTTTTGCTACCCTAAGGGAGAGAGTTATATAAATGCCACTGAAAAGGGTTCTGTGAATTGAAAATGACCAAAAACCACTATGACAGACTGTTTTTGTATGACATGAGTGCATCGAAAAGCAGAATCTCAGAGCAGGTGGTCATCACTAAATGTTTATTGAGTGCTTACTGTATGCAAGGCACTGGGGATACAAAGAGGTATAAGTCATGGCTCTGCCCTTAAGGAGCTCACAATCTAGTTGGAGAAAAAGGACATACATACACGGGTCAGTAACAACATAGGTGGCCTGAACAAACACCAGCTGAGTAGTACAGATAATATAAAGGAGAATTAGGGGGTCACTAAAGGCTACAGTGGGAAGGGAGCATTCCACTGAGGGAGTGGGACGTGGCGTTAGGAGGAGAGTGTCTCAGGCACAGGGAACAACAGTGAAAGCAAAGCTCAAGGCAGGAGCACACGTGGTGGGTCCAAGAAACGACGCCTAGTTAGTTTAGCATGGCTAGAGCAGAGGTTTTGTGCAGGGTGACCAGGAGAACAGTAGCCTCTTTGCCAGGAAGGGAGGATTTGTTTGACAAATGTTGCATTTGGAGGGGTTGGCAGGACTTACATGTGGCATTCTCTCTCCTGAGGTCAGATGTGGGAGCATGAGAATGAGTTAGCTCTTAGATTATTTTCCCAAATCTTTAATTTCATAGACCTTTTTCCTAATGCCAACTCTTGTTCTCTGGGTAGGTGTTTCACTGCCTGAATGAAATCCTAGATCTCTGTCATAGCTTTTGCTCACTGGTCAGTCAGAACCTGGGCCCACTGGATGAACGTGGGGCCGCTCAGCTGAGCATCCTGGTGAAGGTGAGTCTGCCTGGCCAGGGGAAGTATGCAGCCTGGTCCAAAGGATAGAGGTGGTTTTGCCAATGGGGAACCATATCTTTCCCTTTGAGGCAGTGAAGTCTTTCCCCAATACATACACACAGAAATAAAAAGATACAAATGTAAATGTTGATATCAGTTGATTTTGAAGGAGATAATTATGTGCTGCCTCAGTGTTCAAAAATAGTTCAGCCCTGAATAGTTTATTCAGCCCACCAAATACTCATTGGCTTTGCTTTTACTTTCTCATATCCAACCTCCTTCCTTCCTTCCTTCAACTAACCCCCTATTTTACTGAGATGATAATTATCTACTGTAACAAAAATGTAAAGGCTCTCCCCAACCTCAGTACAGAACAGAACATATTGAGACCAGCTGCTAAGTTCCTATGGAGAATGAGAGAGTATTTCCATAGGAAGTCCTGTGTTCTCTATGGACTTGGTACTAGGAAGTCATTTTAGCTGCTAAGAGAAATGGGAGTGTGGGAAGGCCAGATGATGCTGTAGAATTCTGAGCTTTTTCCAAGGAATGCCCCCCTCTCCACATGGATAATTGGTGAGTCAAGAGGAATAGTAACTTGAGTCCTTCTCTCTGCAGGGCTTTAGCCGCCAGTCTTCACTCCTATTCAAGATTCTCTCCAGTGTTCGGAATCATCAGATCAACTCGGATTTGGCTCAACTACTGTTACGACTAGATTATAACAAATATTACACCCAGGCTGGTGGAACTCTGGGCAGGTAGGAACAATCCATGGTGAACTCTGGACTGTGTGTGTGGCTTTTATAAAATGAGTTCTAGAATTCCAAAGCTGGAAGCCGACTTTAGCCATCATCTAGTCCATATACCCTCACTTTATAAACAAGGAAACTGAAACTCTAAGGCTCAGAGAGATAAAGGGCTGTGTCTGATCATTTTTTACCATTTTAATGGATTATTTTCCAGTAAAAATCATCATAGTAAATTACTAAACTCCTAGGCTGAGATGGGTTTTAAGTTCTTGGCTAGGTTGTGTATTGCTGTGCTGAGAAGCAGCTTGGCTTCAGTTCCCAGTTCTGACATTAACTAGTTGAGTAGCCTTAAGCACCCTGCTTCATGGGCCCACAGCTTCTGTGTCTATGAAAGGAGGGGACCACTCCTTCTAATCTAATACTGAAATGCAGTAGCTGTTGGCTTCTTTCAGGTCTTTCCCATTTAAAAAAGCATTTTATTATTCTTTTTCTTTCTGAAATGTCCTCAAGCAGACTTTTCCTAAGCAGTTTTAGCAGAAGAGTCAAAGAAACTTTGAGTTTTAAGATGACATTACAGATCACAGGTTGCCCTGATTCATATTTCTGTGAAGAAAACAGGGAAGCATGTTTGATGAGGCTTTTCTCTTTTTTTCTAGTTTTGGGATGTGAACATTTCTAACTCACAAACTGAAATAACAAGTCTATCCCCACTGCGTTCCCACCTTTGACAGAAGATCCAAAACCAACATCTCATTCACTAGCCCCTCACCAAGTGTCTGCAAACTACTGAGATGGCTCTACCTTTCGTCCTAGAAGCGATTACTGGATGTTCATGGGTATAGATCCTCCCGCTGCTTCCATGTGGAAGGAAGGGTCTGCCCCACCCTAGGGGAGTTCTTCACTTGCCCACAAAGGAGGACATGTGGCATCAACTCAGCTGACCATGCAGCATCTGTTCCATTGAGAACATCTGTCAAATAAGTTACTTACTGAGCACTATGTGCCTAGGTACTGTTCCAGCTGCGAGAGACACAGCAGTAAGTAATATATATCAGAAAGCTAAATATTTTGTGGCTGTGTGAAAAAGGAATTATGTTTATAAGTAAGTCAGCTGCTGGATGTTACCATTGAGCAAGAAAGGCACCGGGTAAGATAGGCTTCCCCTCGCCCCACAGACCCTCTTTCCTCCTCTAGAAAATTGAAATTGAGAATGTCCCATCCTGCCCTGGCCGGTTTGGCTCAGCGGTTAGAGCGTCGGCCTGCGGTCCTGAGAATGTCCCATCCTTAAGGATCTTCAAAACTGTGAATATGAAGAATTTTACCAATAACTTTCAATTATTTCAGGTTGGTAAAAGGGCAATTCTAGTTATTGACAATGTATTTAAAGTATTTTTAACAAAGGAAAAAAGCTCCTTAAGAAAAAAAATTGATGTCAAATTGTTAAGAGTTCAAATACTGAAAATTGCAGGTCTAATTATCTAATTTTGGAACCACGGGTTCTCCTAATCTAGCCCAACCATCACTGGTAATTACTAACATTCATATCAGTATAAATGAAAATAAATCTTCATTTAATAATTTCCTTTAGACCAAAAAAGAATGCAGCATTCTGGCTTCAGTTTATAGCCACTTGATTTGGTCTTCATCTCTTCATCTTCTATCACATACTTGACACCCTTATTCCCTGCAGTTATCAGCTAAAGACCCCATAACTGCTGCCCTGGAGCAGGGGTTGACAAACCATTGCCTGCTACCTATTTTTATAAGTAAAGCTTTACTGGAACACAGCCACTCTTGCTCGTGTACCTGTTGTCTGTGGTTGCTTCCATGTCATCATGGCAAAGGTGAGTAGCTGTGACAAACAAATCCTAAAATACTATTTGGCAGGAAAATGTTTTTGACCCCTGCTTTACAGAATGGGAAGACATCAACAGGGATGATGCTAGGGGTAGGGAAGGAACAACTTCCAGCATCTGTGATAAGAGTAATGAAATTTTGTACCTGTGACTAGAGTTTCTACCATTTTTCAAGTGCTATCACTGTTTCTTGTGTTTATCCTTGTAGAGAGTCATCCCATCAAACTTAAAAGTCACTGCCCATTCACAGCAATTAGTCCTTTTGCCTTTTAGTTCTGAGAACACAGTACCCACAAGTCAGTTTAGTGAGTTCAACTCTATGAAGATGGATTTTTTTTTTCTAATTGCCAGGAAACTAAAAGCTGTGCTGAATTTCACTCAATTTTTGGCACAATTATTACTTGGGCCTACTGTAAAATCTGGTTTTTAGAAGTATTGAGTTATAGACAGACCAGGGTAATTTTTTGACAGTGATGCTACAGAAAACTTTAAAAGTCACTCATTATTTTCCTTGGCTAGCTGTCCTCCTACCGTGAACAAGCTTATTGAAAACCACGGAGAAGGTACTATGTTTGTCTTTCTGCTTGTTCTGAGATTAAGCTCAAAGAAGTGGATGAAGAAATCCCACTTACTACAACCAAAGAGATTCAACATTTATTTTATCATAAAAGTCCAGCAAATAAAACTATATACAAGATCCATGCAAAGAATCCAATTACACACAAGACACATTTAAAACCTTGTTAAAACACAATCTCCACAACAGCAAGGAATAAAACCAATAAGACCAAGTATCCTTAGTGAGAAATATAATCGTGTTTATATTTTGGATGCTGCTTGAATCCAATTCTCTCCCCAACAATGAGGCACTGGATTACCCACTCTTGTGACACCACCGGCAGCTGCAATGCTTCAGCACACTTCAGCACCGAGGCTGGGCAGGAGGGGTCTGTCACCACCACGTCAAATACCCCTAAAGCAATATCTGCAAGAAGCAGGGGAAGGTGAACAAGGAAAGGAGACTCAACTTAACCATTAAAAAGCCAGATGTGGCTCTAGCCCAGTACATCCCACTGCCCAAACACAACATGCTACTGATCACAACCAAATAGATGTTATCACTAAATGCTGACCTTATAGAAATGTTCAGCAAATATACCACTGGACACCAGCAGAAGCATAAATAGCCCAGTGCTTCACTCATGTCGGCTCACCTCTTGAAGGTGGTAGTTTTCTTCTCTTAGGTTAACCTTATCCATGCTTCTATCATCAGGACTAAGACTTAGACCACAAGGCCTAATGACTATGGGTCTAAGGACATCCCTGGAGCAATGACAACACAAACACTCTTTCCAGGTACCTTTGTTATGGGCACTTGAATGGTGCTGCTTCACAGAGGCTGCCCCCCCAGTCATGAGGATCTCAGACCAGAGCTCCAGGAAGTTCTGCTGTTGGTCTGATACCAAGAGTACCTTCAGATTCTGGAAAGGGTTTTCACGGGGTTGCCTATGAAGAAGTCAGAGACACAGCACCTTGGAATTGGAAGGGAACTTAGCACGATAGATAATATCTAACAACAGCTCTTCTACAAAGGGACGCAGTTAGATCTGGATGCTTTAAAAACCCCTGCATTTGGGTACAACCTCCCTTCCCTCTTTCTGTGAATGATGTGTATTCTCGGGGATCGTGACCTTTTAATCTACCCCTTCTGATTTCCTGTTTGTCCTGGGGCCAACAATAAGCCAAATCATGCTCCTAAGCCTGCATTTTTAAATGCCTACATGGAAATGCTCACAGTTTCAAAGGGTCCCTAACCCCTGTACCGTAAGGAAGTAAACTAGGTGAATACTAAAGTAATCTCAAACCTATTCAAAGTCTGCAATTTATTGTGTGATCATTCCAATTTCTAGAAATATTTACTTCCTAGATTATTCCCCTCCAAAAGCTTGCCATCCTCTTCTCTACTGTTCTAGGTGGGCTCTTAAATACTCACCAATCCAGAATTCTCTGCTCCTCAAGGCTGTACCCAGCTGGCAGCAGGTAATTGCGGTAATTCTGGAGCTGGTTGGCATGGCAACTGTCATGGACCCAGACATGAGACACACAAGGAATCCCACTGGCAAGGCACAGAAAGTACTTCCGGGTTCGACAATGCTGATCCGCAATTAGGAGACACTGGTAAGCTGTGTTACACTGAAAGAAAAGGAACAGAGCTGATGGGTCTGGTGATGTCTATGCAAAGCCCCTGAACAGCCCATGTCATGGAGAACAGATCTGAACACTTCCAAACACAGCTGCCCCTTGAACAACATGGGTTTGAATGGCACAGGTCCACTTACGGATTTTTTCAATTGACCCACACAGTTTCAAACCTGTGTTCAAAGGTCAACTCTGCTGTTGGGAATCCAGTATGGGGAGGGCCAGATGGTTATACGTAGATTTTCTACTGCATGAGAGGTCAGCCCCTATCACCCCCATGTTGTTCAAGGGTCAACTGTACTACCCAAAATGTGACTTACTTAGCCTGTCCTTCTGCCCAAGGTCTCTTTTCTCACGGATAGGCCCAAGTGGCTTACCTAGATACTCTCCTTGCCTCTCCTGCAGCTTTCTGGGGGCCTAAGTCCTAAAGGGACAACTGAGCTCCATGTAGCCAGGATTTCTATTAAACACATTTTAATCTGTTTTGTCCCAGAAAAAGAACCAGTCAGTAACTAACCCAAGGTTCTAACTTCTCTTCCTTGTACACATTAAAAATTCTATTTCATGCAAAACCTTTTAGCAGTTTCCCAATTCCTGAAATCTCTAGCTACTACTGTCCCTCTTGGGCCTTTTCTCAGTACAAGTGGACTCCATCACTGCCCCTCTGGGAAGCTTCACAAACTCCTCACCTGAGCTTCATTGAAGTCTTCAAGAATATAGCCAGCTCCTGCTCGAAGCTGGGATTCTGTGTACTGCTTGTTGAAAGGAGGAATTTCTAAAAATTCTATATAAGAAAATAGACAACCAAGATAATTACTACTAGTTGGTTTCTTATTTGCTACTTTATGCCTGCTTCTTATTGCCCTCTTTCTACTCCCCAGCTATCTCCAGAGCACTGTATCCCCAAGACAGCTCAAGGGCTTCCCCCATGGCTCAGAAAGAGATCTGTCTTGAGGCCTATAAAGTGCTGTCAAAAGAAGGGACAACAACAGGAGGGGCAAGGAAGATGAGAAATTGAGGAAGGTCCTAGACCTAAAAACATCAAGCATTTCTGTACTAAGACTGAGTCATTGGACTGCTCATGGGGGATGGGACACAATCACTTCCCACAGTGATGTATTCCAATTTGAGTAACCTTTACCATCAGGAAGTTCATCCTCGCATCTACCCTATATCTCTCCTTCAAACTAAGCCCATTTTCTCTAATTCTCCCTTCATCAACATTTTTACCCCTTGTACACTAAAACTTTGATAAGCCAGAATGTTCAAAGAAAGTAGGGTTTTTTAAATTTAAGTGAAAATTAGCCAAAAAAAATCCTGTTTCAACCTTTTTATTGAAAACTATCTACCTTTGATGATCTTGAAGTACCTCAGGACACTGAACATCAATGACTGCTCTATAGTCTTGAGGGTGAAGTAGAAGTTATGAGAGATGAGGCTGAAGCTGTAATGACCCTAGGCAATTAGAAATTGCTTCTTTGACCAAATATCTAATTTGAGCTTGTTTTCTTGTCATCTGCTCCTCTCATATATAAATAACACATTAAAAAAAAAAAAAGAAAGAAAAAAGCAAAACATTAGAGACTTTAGTTAATGAGGGGTTCTGTGAAATTAAGTGCCAATGAACTTATCACAAATTAAAAAACCCAACTAAATGCATAAAAGTTCAATGCCAGGACCACTCCCCTTCCCTGTCACACCCAGTGGTAAACCTGGTAGAGAGCAAACCCCTTGCAGCGATGGCTCCCCCTTGGTCATCTCCCTGCCTGCTGGAGCTGCTCAATCAGTACTGATGCCCCAAGCTCAGGCCTCCACACCTCTGGGTAGGTCTGATTGGCCAACCTATTCACTTTTTTTGCTTTTTCCTTGATTCAGCATTCTGCACATTTTTCTCAAAATGAAAGCAAATTGGAAACTAAGTGGTTATAAGAAACTCAGAATCTAGCAGGACTATTTCTCAGTTTTGTCACTGCGCCCTTTTGATCTGTTCTCAATATACCATATCACAATTTCAGTGCCAGCACTCCACTGCAGAGTCACTGCCGAGGCCCTTTATTTTTCTCAAGACTTCTACTTTATGTCTTAATCCAGGACTGTTTCTAGCCTTGACCTATTTAGATTTTAATCGCCACTTATATTTCATTGCATTTGTGTAATTGAATATTACCTAGATCTAAGCAGTCCATTTCTCTAATTTTTCTCAGTTTGTATTTAAGTGACCCTGCCCAACCAGA